TCTCATGCCCTCTTGCACACTTCTCACATCTAGGAATCTCCCTCTTACACACTGCTGCAACATGACCATAAGCTTGGCACCTAAAATACCGTAATGGGTTCGGGACAAAAGCTCTCATGGGATAACTGACACATCCTAACTTGAGCTTGTCGGGTACACTCTGCATCAAAACTCAGGACAGACAGTGTCTTTTCTGTTTTACCACGCTCTCCACCGGGTCTGCGTCACACCAAACGCAGGGTGTCACAGACACCGGGAATCTTCCATTTCAGTTGATCCTCCTTAACACTTAACACCACCCCAGTTATCACTCCTTTCAACTGGGCCCTGCTCCGGAGAGCACAGCAAGTCACAGTTCTTGTCCCTAGGCACGTGATGCGGAGCGACCGCTCTCTCTGGAGGGAAGAAACGCAAAGAATCATCACGAGTCCACTTCAAGTTACATTCACCGAGTCAACAGTCCCCAACCTCTTCATCACCCAACCTGACACCACATATGGATCTCCCTCCCACTGGGCCAGAATCATCTTTATCATCATCGGGACGAGGCTCGAACTCTGCGGTCTTCACCGCACCTGCCACCGAAAGTAATTCATCCTCACTCTCGTCAGGTTAAACTTCTGAGCTACCGAGTACGTTTTTTTTTTTGTACTCACCGCCAATCTTCCATGCCACTTCCCTATACACTTAGCTCCTTTCCTTCTTCCGCTCTTTCTGCTCCTTCATCCGCTGTAGTAGCAAACTGTTCAAATGGTTCTTGCCACCATGTCGCATCGACTCAAAAAGCTCTACCACCAGGCATTTATACACAAAACCCTGCTCCACACACACAGGCAGCACCTGGAACTAATTACAATTAAGTGACGCATGTCACACTAAGATATACACACTATGATGATCACAATACATTTTATGAGATACATATGGGCTACAGTAATTGAAACACATTAAATATATGGTCAAATGGTATACTGATGAGCAGAGAGACAACATTTAGAGCTGATGTTATCACCCCATATATCAATAAGAGATAGAATAGGCTACAAAGCACCATAAAAAACAACTACTTCTCCAACAAGTATCAGACTTTCTCCACAAACTGAAATGAAAACTTACCATCAGTCAAGTGTCTGCCAATAACCTGTTTATTGTATCAAAGTGTATAGCCTGGTTTTGTGACGCCAAACCCATGATGCTTCTCCTTGCTTGTTAGGCTGGGAACAAGAGTCATAGTGTGATACCTACTGTATCTGTATCTGGGTGTGGAGGGGATGTTAATGCTGCTTATCTGTTTGCTGTGTGTGTATGTGTGCAATATCATGAGGTAAGAGCATGTGGTTAAAGTAATAGAGGAAGCGCATGTCAAAATACTTGCGCACTGAGCATGGAGTGTTTAAGTTGCTCTTCTTCTTCTTCTTCTTCTTCTTCTTCTTCTTCTTCTTCTTCTTCTTCTTCTTCTTCTTCTTCTATGGTATTATGGCGGTCCGCAAACAAACGTTGGAGGTGCATGCCATCACCCACTGTACGGGAGGGGGGGGGGGGGGGGGGGGGGGGGGGGGGGGGGGGGGGGAGACACTCATATTGTTCCCAAATAATTAACAAAAGACAAAGAAACAAAAACAAAAATCAATGTACTTCTTTAGTCAGATTCAAATGTCAACTCCGAGCCCTACAGGCTCTGGGACCTGAGAAGGAAGAGCATCTTCGGACAGTATTCCTTGCAATGTTTCGGCTGTGAAGTCCTGGAGACCCAATAACTTTTCAGCCGCAGATAGAATTATGGCCAGTTTCGTGGACTTCTTGTTTGTTTGGGTAGTACAATTAATCACGTGCAATAAACGCCACAAAATCCATCTTCTTCACGATCAGCATATCAGTTTACCTCAACTGCGGGGCATCCACTGCCATATCTTCAGCTCCACTCGCTCCTTCAACTATTTTGCATACCTCCGTGTAGGAGACCTGCTGTACAGCCCTGACCCTTGCCAATTCAAACTCCTTTACCCTAACCGGGCACTCCGGTAAATTGGGAATGTGATTTCCAGCACAATTGCAACACCATACGTCCTCAGATTCTTAAACATTCCTTCGGCACACACTTGATACGTGGCCATACCTTATGCAATTACGGCAAAACACAACTTGGACATGAAAGCGATCACTGCATATCTCACATATCCCAGCTTCACATGTGAAGGGAGATACTCTTCATCAAACATCAATAATACCGACAGGCTTCCTATTTTCTTCCATCCACTACACAGTTCAGACAGCTACTCCTGATATGTTCCTTTGTAAACCACAAGGCCTTAACATCCAACACGACACCAGAGATTACACCTTTTAACGGTGCTCTGCTCCAAAAATCTAAACTCTCCACTTCATATGTCGATAGTTTGTCGATCCTTACTGCCTTTTCCTTCTGCTCTTTCGACACACAAGAAATCAAAACAAAACCACTTCTGGTCACTCTGACCGACTCCACCTTTCCTAATGCATCCTTTACCATCCTTGATACTTCAAACGGATCTCGCCCAAAAAAGCAACATTGTTAGTGAGTTCCATTTTCCTTTATCACTGTCTTCCATCAGATTCAAGTTCGTCCATCCACCTTCAATATTCCTCCACTCCAGAAACCGTCATCCTTCTCATCCTCTAGTTGTATCTAGCTATCTCCATTCCATGCTGGATCCATCTTCCTTCCGGTCCCCAAGGCTCGCGGGAAGTCTGCCTTCATCGAGTCCTTCCGTTTAAGTTGCTCACTACACACACTACATTTTATGACACGGAGAGAAATACACACCCTTAACAGATAAAGCCAAGGCCACTCTCATAATAACCTTTGCCCAAGTTATAGTCAAATAATAGCCAAAGTTAGGCCCTATGTGTGATTCAGTTCAAGCAAATACATATTATAGTGAGTAATATTCATGATATGTGATAAACTGAACATTGCAACAACTCACTGAATAAGCTTTTGAAAGCAGAAGCATACATGTTTTCCTGTGTAGGCTAGGGTACTGTATTTCATTTAGGTCTCTAAATTAACTTTTTAAATTGGCAACACTGGTGCTCTCAACTTTAAAAAGCTAGGAGCACATAACAGTATTTATTTTGAACTAAATATAAACACAACATGCAACAATTTCAAAGATTTTACTGAGTTACAGTTCATATAAGGAATTCAGTCAATAGAAATACATTCATTAGGCCCTAATCAATGGATTTCACATGACTGGGCAGAGGTGCAGTCATAGGTGGGCCTGGGAGGGCATAGGCCTACCCACTTGGAAACCAGGCCCACCCACTGGGGAGCCAGGACCAGCCAATCAGAATACGTTTTTCCCCACAAAAGAGCTTTATTACAGACAGAAATACTCCTTAGCACCCCCTCAGATGATCCCGCAGGAGAAGAAGCCGGCTGTGGAGGTCCTGGGCTGGCGTGGTTACACATGGTCTGCAGTTGTGAGGCCGGTTAGACGTACTGCCAAATTCTCTAAAACGATGTTGGAGGTGACTTAGGGACGTAGGGAAAATGTAGGGAAAATGAACATTAAATTATCTGGCAACAGCTCTGGAGGACATTCCTGCAGTTAGCATGCCAATTGCACGTTCTCTTGAGACATCTGTGGCATTGTTGTGTGACAAAACTGCACATTTTAGAGTGGCCTTTTATTATCCCCATTACAAGGTGTACCTGTGTAGTGACCATGCTGTTTAATCAGCTTCTTGACATGCCACACCTGTCAGGTGGACAGATTATCTTGGCAAAGGAGAAATGCCCACTAACAGGGATGTAAACACATTTTTTGTATACAAAAAAAAAAAAAAAAAAGGTTTTTGTGTGTATGGAAAATGTCCGGACCAACACTTTACATGTTGCGTTTATATTGTTGTTCAGTGTAGATGTCTTTGTCTGGTTACTTTTGTATTTTGGGGGGTGAATTAGCACACGTTTGTCTGCCTTGCCAATCTGCGTCACTGTTGAGTTTAGCAAAGTGGATTTGTTGATCCTCAAGTTTGACTCCTCAGACATGCTGTAGTCCAGGAAGTAATGTTTCACAACAAACCGGCGTGCCGTACCGTGACTTTAACGGGTTGACTGACATCCAGTGGAGGGTTGTGTAAACGGAGCTAAACTCGTCCTGTCCACCAAAATGAGACTTCTAAAAGCAGGACTAACCTTAGGTCAAACACATTTAAGGAAACCGGGAACAGTAACATCAAAAAAGGTAAGAAAAAATACCCCAAGATGTTGAGAATAGGACAGGTGAGAAGGGATGGAAATAGACACACTAGCTAGCTAACCACTGGCTGTCCTGTCTTGCGTTGTATAACGTTAACTAATAATAGAGAAACTTATCTGAAAGCTGTCTCTTTTTTTCATTTTATAGGTGATATTATGTTTTTATGGTATAATGATGTCATGTCATAGTATCGTGGGGAATAATAATAATAATATGCCATTTAGCAGACGCTTTTATCCAAAGCGACTTACAGTCATGCGTGCATACATTTTTGTGTATGGGTGGTCCCGGGGATCGAACCCACTACCTTGGCGTTACAAGCGCCGTGGGCTACCAGCTGAGCTACAGATGAGGAATAGGTTAGAGTTACTAGATAAGTGGTTAGGAGACAGAAAGTCTACATTCCATTATGTCAAAGGAGATTAGTGATGTTTAGGATAGCATGAGTGATGGGCAGGATAGTGACTTGGGGTAAAGAGTGATGAACATCAAAGACAGGGAGTGCCCATAAAGACTTACCAGATGTATGCCAGGAAGAGGGTAACAGAAGGTCTTCTTTGTTCAAGTTAGTTCGTAACACCAAGGGGCAAAGCTCTGGTCATTGTTGTAACGAACCCGGTACCGATCATTAAACATTTGCATGAACTGTCTACAAAGTGTCTAAGTATAGGATTCTTTGATACCCGAGAAACTCATCATAACAATAGGTGTTGATGAACAGTTGTCGGTCGTGCTCCTCTGGTATCGTTCCCAATGAAAGGATCCGCAACATCGGAATCTCGGCACACATCGACTCGGAAGACCACACTCACGGAGCGCGTCCTCTTCTACACGGGCAGGATAGCAGAGATCCATGAGGTGAGTTAATCATGATCATATAATCTGGCTCTGATTTATTGAAGTAGCTTGTTGGAGAAGTGTGTGTGTCTGCCTGCCTGCTTGCTTGCTTGCTTGCTTGCTTATCTGTCTGTTTTAGAGGCAGACAGACAGACAGATTAAAACTGTTATGTCTGTTTATTTTTACGTACTGTATACACACTGTGGTTCCTCTAACTCTATAGGTAAAGGGAAAGGATGGAGTCGGGCCACCATGGACTCGATGGAGCTGGAGAGGCAGAGAGGCATCACCATCCAGTCAGCTACCACATACACCATCTATAAGGATTACAACATCAACATCATCGACACCCCAAGTATGGAGGTACCTACCTGGCAGAAAGATTTGCGTTAGTGGCAATACAGATCTTATGACCAGGTTCTTTTTTTGACGGATAAACCATAAGTCACAGTCACAGATTGATGCTAGTATACGCAACAGCTGTTGAACTTAGGATGTATTTTTGCTTTTAACTTTAACCGCAGTTTCCTCCTCTCTGACCTGTCCAGGCCATGTGGACTTCACCATCGAGGTGGAGCGAGCCCTGCGTGTTTTGGATGGGGCGATTCTGGTCCTATGTGCAGTTGGAGGGGTCCAGTGCCAAACCCTGACCGTGAACAGACAGATGAAACGCTACAATGTTCCCTTCCTCACCTTCATCAACAAGCTGGACCGCATGGGAGCCAACCCCAACCGCGCCCTGTAGGCCATGAGGTCAGCAGATATACAGATACTGTAGACCGATAGACTAGTCTGGTTTTCCATAAGCTCTGTGTTCTGACTCTGACTGTGTTCCCTCTTTCAGGACCAAGTTGAACCACAACGCAGCCTTTGTGAACATCCCCATCGGTCTGGAGGGGAACATGAAGGGCATCATAGACCTCATAGAGGAGCGCAGCATGTACTTCGAGGGCCCATTCGGGTAAGAGAATGGAGAATGTGTGATCATGGCAGGGATTTAGTAATGTAAGTCATCTCTATCTCAGACCTGAAACATTTCCATAGCTGTAAACCTTCTCACTGGAAAAAAAGAAAAAGAAAAAAAAGACAAATCCTCCTGTCCTCTGCTTCCTGCAGACAGAATATCCGGTTAGATGAGATCCCGGCAGAGTTCCGTGTGGAGGCTGCAGACAGGAGACAGGAGCTGGTGGAGTGTGTGGTTAATGCTGACGAGACCCTGGGAGAGATGTTCCTGGAGGAGAGGATCCCCAACGTGCCAGAACTCAAGGTTTGTATGTGTGACTGTTCATTATGTCTTGGGACATCGCAAAAAAAGTATGTAATTTGATCTTCCGCATCAGTCATATGTTCTGCAATGACCTGTGAACTCTGCCCCCTGGGCCCTGACTGCTCCCGTCTCTCCTCCCACAGGCAGCCATACGCAGGGCCACAGTGCAGCGCCTCTTCAGCCCCGTGCTGGTGGGGACTGCCCTGAAGAACAAGGGGGTCCAGCCTCTATTGAACGCAGTGCTGAATTATCTGCCCAACCCCACAGAGGTCAACAACTACGCCCTCTTCAACGATGAGTGAGTATGACCTCTTTGCCTAGGCAGAGACACCATTCAATATGACACGGCCGTCTTTGAATGAATTGATATGCCAAAATCAGGTCAGAGTATGGGCTCAGGGACAAACTTGAACAATGCATGCGTAACTTGACGTTTTGTGCCATTCATCAATTGATGTCAATGGAAGATCTCACCACTGTCCTTGTGTTGTTTCCTCTGTGTCAGGGAGTCCAGTGACAGCACTAAGATTCTGATGGATCCCACCAGAGATGCCTCGCAGCACTTCGTTGGCCTGGCCTTCAAACTGGAGGTGAGCACATCACAGCACACAAACACTGTGTAGCAAACCATCTTCTCTTCAACAAGTAATCTGGCACGTTTACTGTGTACACTTTATTTGGATGATAAACCGTACTGTAGACGTATTTTTCTCTCTCTCCTCTCTTCCCTTTACTCTGTTCAAGGCAGGTCAGTTTGGTCAGCTGACATGCGTGTGTACCAGGGCTGTCTGAAGAAGACAGAGTACATCATCAACACACGCACAGGCAAGAAGATCCGTGTGCAGAGACTAGTGCGTCTCCATGCCGACCAGATGGAGGTGAGAACCAGGAAGTGAATGTAAATGGAGTAAACTGATGGTTTCAGTGCCATGAAAAGCACAGCACTGTGATTGGTTAGAACGGTAATGTTCCATATTTGGTTTTTTGTTTGTTTCTCCCACACAACCCTAGTGATAACATCTCATGATTACAAACAACTTTATCTATACATTTGTATAACTGAAACAATCTTAATTTGGTGTCATCATAAAGTGTTTTCCTCCCTCTGATTGGTCAGGATGTGGAGGTGGTGTATGCAGGTGACATCTGTGCCCTGTTTGGAATCGACTGTGCCAGCGGAGACACCTTCAACTCCCGGACCAGCGCCAACCTCTCCATGGTACATCCCTATGGCAATTGTCCAGACTAGATAAACAACCAGTCAGCACTCGCTAACGTGTATTTAAAGATGCAATCTGTTGTGCACTGCCTTTGTGTGCATAATGTTATGACCTTGGGCATCATTCAACATGTGTTTCTCCCACAGGAGTCCATCCACATTCCAGAGGCTGTCATCTCCATGTCTATGAAGCCATCCAACAAGGTGGGCCCTCTCATATTCTATGTAGTATGAGGAGTCTAAATGACCATATAAGGCTTGATACTATTTCAGGAGAGTATATGAGCATGTATTATCAGTAATTAGCATCTCTATAATAAACTATCTTCCTCCTCACCCTCTTCATCCTCTCGCTCTTCCTGTGGATCAGAATGACACAGATAAGTTCTCTAAAGGCATCAACCGCTTCACCAGAGAAGACCCCACGTTCAGGGTCCACTTTGACACAGAAAGCAAGGAGACTATCATCTCTGGTATGGGAGAGTTGCACCTGGAGATCTACTCACAGGTACTAGTCTAGTGCTCGGCTCTCCGGAGATCTGAAGATCCTTCTGTCCACAGCGTTTTTGTGTTTTGGCTTCATCTTGTTTTTACAGTGTCCTAAGTTGTCTTGAAGGCTAATAGAATGCATTAGACTTCCAAACATCTAGAATCTTTAATGGCATTTCAATGCAGTAAATGAAGCTGACCTTACTTTCTCGCTGTCTTTCTGTAGAGGATGGAGAGGGAGTATAACTGCCCCTGTGTGATGGGAAAGCCCAAGGTAGCCTTCAGGGAGAGCGTGACCAGTGTGGTACCGTAAGTACCACTCCTAACACACACAAATGCCAACGATGACCAATTGAACCACTCTCAGAAGCATTACATTGTATACAGTGATGGCTTTATTTCACCTCTTCATGTCATCAATAGAGTATATTAACAAGAAAAGCTTTTACAAACATGTTATATTTTACCAATAGTCTTACAAGCTGACACAGTAAAAGCAGTGCATTGGCATAGATGCAGTAAGGCCATTGACATGTGCCCTATCCTCTCCTCTGAAGCAGTAGTGGTGAAGGTAAACAGAATTACTAAGACAAGTGTGATGTGTAAAGCTCAGCTTTTCAAAGCAGGTAGAAAGTGTGGCTTTACCCTTCATTCAAGTACTAAGAAAGATGTGCTATACTCTTCTTTGCAGTACTTGAGTAAGGCTGTGGAGTATTTTGCCATGTGTGTATCTCAGTTGGTGGTGTTTGGAGGAGCCTCACAGTCGTGGCACTTTGGCTGCAGCTCAGTCTGCAGGACTTTAACTCCCTGTTCTGGGGACCAGGTGACTAACAGCTTCCAGTGGATGATCTCCTGCACACACAAGAATGTTCCATAATAATAATAAACATGACGTCCGAGTTCTGTTAAGACAGATGGCAGAATGTTTTAGTTACCTGGGAAATCATTTCATGCAGCAGGACATGGTAGTTGAACCTCAGCTGGTCCTTCTCAGTCTCCTGTTGAGGGACAGACAGAGAACCACGGACCAAGTGTGTGAGAAGGATGGACGGGAAGTGTGTGGGTGGGGAGTTAGGGGTCAATTTGGAATTGGGCAGATGTCTCCATGGTTACACTGAGGTTCTGGTCGAGTTACTGTCCGACTACATCGCAGACGCATGCCAGATCATACCACGCCTGGATAGGTATTTAACATATTAGCTAACCACATATGATATAGCAATCTGATGCCTGACTGCACAGTCGATGGCGTAGCACGCAACCATTGGTTGATGCAATGCAACGCCTGCGCATCTAGTCGGGCAAGAACTCAACCTCTCTCTTGGCTGCTCACCAGCTGTGTGAAGTTGGCCACCTGGGCCATGTTGTAAAGCGTGCTCTCATTAGACTCCCTCAGCATGATGAAACTGGAGGCCACACCCCCCAGGTGCCAGAAGGGCTTCATGCTGGGCTCCATGTGACCGTAGCTGTCTGTCAAAGAGACCACAAACACATCACGGTCAGAACAGAGATGGGGTCAGTTAGACCACAAATGGACCACAGTCTGAACAAAGAGATGGTCATTTCAGTGGTTGTCATGTTTGGACATTATGCCATGGCTGACTGAGTTGTGTGTATTTGTGGCTCTATACCTACTTGGTATATCTTTTCCTGACACCATGTTATTGCTGGCTCTGTGTTGCTGGTAGAAGGCCTCTTCCTGAGCCGTGGTGTTGCTTTGAAGCAGTCCCTCACAGGAAGCCTGGACCTGGGGAGCACTCTGCCCCTCTCCCCCTGGAAAGAGGAGCTCTGCAGAGCACTGCCCCGAAACCTTTTATAGGGAGAGGAAAGGGTGAGGGGTTGAGGAGAAAGTGGAGAATAGGAAAGGAATGGTGTCGCAGTATGTTAGGAGAGGGAAGACACAGGAGAGGAAAAATAAGAGAAGGAAAATAGAGGTTGTTGATCTAATGGTTACAGAACACACCTTGTATTTATTCAGACTGCTGTTATCTGTGCAATAGTGAGTCACTCAGAGAATGTGAATCGGATCTTACGTTACTGATCATCTCCTGCACGGTAAGCTCCAGTTGATACTTCCTCCCCATCTCTGCCACATCCTGACAGCCAAGGCGAGAGAGAGCAGAAGTGAACCACTTAAGACAAGTGTAAGCAAACAAAAATATGTTCCATAAAGCCGTTGCCCCCTCACAAGCCCCCACTGTATGCACTATTGATCATTGACTTTTTATCTGCACGGACCTCCCATATCCATCCCTTTCTTCAAGGATCCTTCTTTGCCTTATAATATTAACTGCCCCTGCCCCCCACACTCCCCAAAGTATGCTGATCCTCCCATCTCCACTCGTACCTCTGCGCTGCCGTTGTGTACTTTGCTGAGAAATATCCACCTGTAGGGCGAGCCATAGCGGGTGTTCAGGTAGTGTTGGACCACCGTGGCTGCCCGACGGCCAGGGTAGTGACTCGGGTTCAGCACGCCAGTCGTCATCACCACCTCGCTCACCTAATCCACACCGGAGAGAAGAGAGGGGAATGAGAGCGAACAGGAGGAATGAGAGAGAAAGGAGGGTGGTGAGGACAGGTAGGGAATGCCTGCTCAGATGGGTCTTTGAACTCTCTGTGTGTGCGGGGGCAGGGTGGCGGAAGTATTGTCCTGCCCTAGTTCTAGATAAGGAGAAGACCGAGTGGGAGAATATATTGAGTAAGGGGAGGGTAGAAAATGTCAGGGAGGAAAGTGTTCTTGCCTGTGCCTGGAAAGACCGAGACTCCCTGCCATTGAGAAGCTATTGCTGTCAAGACACTCACAGACCGCTGGAAAAGCAGCCACATGCAGGGGTAGAAACAACTTCCTGCTTCTCCCGAGCCAGGAATTCAGTTAGGACCACCCCTTTTTAAAAGAGACAGGCCACACATTTCCCCTTTCCTCGCTCTACTGTAACATAAAAGCATGGCAAATGACCATACAGCTACTTTGTAAGTACTGATCGTTTGGGCAACTATGGCAGTTCTTTACTTAGCAATGCTTTAATGAAAATCCTCTGAATGAGTTACTGATGTTGGCTATGTGCTTGTCTCTGCAGGTTTAACTTCACCCATAAGAAGCAGTCTGGTGGTTCTGGGCAGTACGGTAAAGTGATAGGAGTTCTGGAACCTCTGGACCAAGAGAACTACACAAAAGTGGAGTTTGAAGACCAGACTGTCGGAACCAACATCCCCAAACAGTTTGTGCCGGCTATTGAGAAGGTACGCATGTCTGGCTGTAGTCTGAAAATCAAATAGGCCCTTGAGTAAGTGTAATTATGATATTTATTTTTTTAATCCTGTAGCTTATTCAGATAAGAGTTCTACTAGAATTTCTCTCATACCCCAAGGGTGGGCAAACTTTTTGGCTCGAGGACCACATCGGGATTTCGAAATTCAACAGAGGGCTGCATATATTTTTATTCTAGTTTCAAAATCAATTTGTGGGCTACAAAAAGGGCACTCATTTGAAAATATATAGGTTCATTTTAACGTCTACATTTCTTTTACTCAAACCTCCCCTGGGCCGGATTGAATGGGCCTGCGGACCGTAGTTTGCCCACCGCTGTCTTACTCTTTCTCCATCTCCTCACTCATCCCCCTCTCCTGCAGGGATTCAGAGAGGCCTGTGAGAAAGGCCCTCTGACTGGTCACAAGAGCTCAGGCATCAAGTTCCTATTGGAAGATGGAGCGCATCACATGGTGGACTCGAATGAGATCTCCTTCATCCGTGCAGGGGAGGGCGGTGGGTGTCAACCAACCAGAATACACCCCCGTTGTTCTCGCATATTTTTCCCTCTATACCTTTTCTGTGCTTCTCAGCTTTTTGACAAACCTACTGAATGTGTCCTCTCCTTCCATCCATGTCCCTCTTTTGGTAGCCATGGAGAAGGCCAACGTTGCCGTGCTGGAGACAATCATGTCAGTAGAAATTGTGGCGCCCGATGAGTTCCAAGGGACAGTCATCGCCGGGGTCAACCGTCGCCATGGCGTCATCAGTGGGCAGGATGGGGCGGAGGGCTACTTTACGTTGTATGCTGATGTGAGTGCAGCTCTGTCCTACTCATACTTCCTATGCTTTTTTCTTTCTGCAAAGACAGGATAGGTTAAACGTCTGTCCAGTCACTATGTATTTGATGGTTAATCTCCATTTCCTCTCCCCAGATTCCACTGAATGACATGTTTGGCTACGCCACAGAGCTCCGGTCCTGTACAGAGGTAAGGCACTGGCTGCTCTAGTTGGATATCAAGCCATACATTTTCAATGATATTGAATTGAGTTTGTATTAGCTAATTTTTTTCAGTTAATTTCTTTGTACCAAAGTCATTTCTCAGTCTATGATCCTTTCTATATGTGTGTTGTGTCCAGGGGAAAGAAGAGTACACCATGGAGTACAGCAGATACCAGCCCTGTCTGCCTGGCACTCAGGAGGAGCTCATCAACAAATACCTGGAGTCAACGGGACAGCTGCCTGCCAAGAAGGGGAAGTGGAAGAACTGAGCGTGAACAACACACACGCACAATCACTGAATTGTAAACACATTGCAGTACTGCAATGGAATGCTCAACAAACACACACAAACATACAAAGTGCTCAACTGTAAACATACTGGGCTCTGCCTTACCAAGGTAGGTGTAATATATCGTATGTGCATTCAAAATGCTACAAATGGTCAGACAGATGTCCAAGTGAATTCCCTTGATTCACCCTCGTTTCCACCCCCATACTCTCTTGTCCTAAAGTATCTATTTATTACTGACTTTATATCCATTCGGCCTCTGCTCTCCAGCAAACAGCCTTGTCCCGCAGCCTAGCAGTTTTTATGAAGACTTGAGGCAAACTCAAAGTTTTGACTTCAACTTGGGCATGTATATTAACTGGTTTTGTACTATGTACAGCATATGTTGATGTTGTAATGATGATGATTTAAAGAAGATGTATCTAATACAACCATTTCACCAGGGTGTCATTGTTTACTTAGCAGACGGTTATGTGGTGTTAGAATTTTGTTGCCTGAATTTGATCTAATCTGGATTCGACAGAAAAGCACAACTCGGTTGTGAAATACTATCTAATATGTATCACAGCAAGAAGCTAGACAAGGCTAAGTCAAAGTAGTATTTTCATGCAAAACAAACTGGAGACTCATTCTCCATGTTATGTAGGCCTATACTGAGTATATACTGATGTGCCTCCTCTGAGCAGAGAATTCTAGGGGTTTGTAGCTCACTCACCTCTATAGTTGGCTTTGTGTCCTCGCCCAGAGGAACACTGTTTGGGTGTTTATCAGACCCCACTGGTGGTCCTGACCCAGTTCTGACAGTCACGGTCAGGTTCCGATGGACCACGGTCAGAACAACCAGAAGGATAAGCAGCGTCCAGTCCATACTCCTCACTGATCTGAAAACAGAAAACTAATGCCAGAGAGGATTGTGGAGTCCTAAGGAATGCAAATGGAGTGTGAATAGGCATCCAGTTCAGGGTTATGTAAGAGGAAGGATATGGAGTGAGAGGAAACTGACACTGTCCAGACTCGGCTGCCTGTTCTGTTTTCTTGGTCTTTATCTAAACAAACTGCTCTTCTGCAATTCTGGGTCTCAAATGTAGGCCTACACACTTAACACTGAGTAGAGTTGTCCTCCAGAAAATATTTATTTAAAGGTGCAGTTCAGTAAGAAATGTGATATTCCTGTTTTTTTAACGCTACTTCCACACTATGAGGTTGCAATAACACTGAAGTTGTGAAAATGATAATGCCCTTTTAATGTAAGAGCTTTTTGAAGAAAACTCCTGGGGCCTCTTTTATCAATATTGAATTGAAACTATTCAAACGGAATTTAGAATGTTTGTAAGCATAAAAAAAGTGTGCTTTATCAAACAACCCTACCAGCGTCATAAGCACACCGCTAGGAGATAACCATTGATAAATACCAATTGTTTTCAGCCTCAGTGCTGGTTCACGACCTTGGCTGTTTGCATTTCGAAACGCCCCTAATTAACCAAATATGGTCAAAATCATCCGTTTAAAGCCTGTGGAAAGCCTCTGGAGAGGCTATGTGGGTGCCGTCTATTGCTCTGTTCGTATTTGGGAACCCATTGCTGGCAAAGAAGACTTCAACCTGTTGTGCGATGGTGTATGGAAATTGTATGCTTTACTGTTCGTTTTTCTGATGATTGCATCCAAAACTTTGGCTCATCGAGGGCTGTGTGATGTGGATCGGCAAGATCCCGTTGCCAAACACCCGAGGGTGGATAGCACTTGGATGTACACCGGGATGGCATGCGTTTGCCTTCTTCTTCTTCTTCTTCTTCTTCTTCTTCTTCAATGAGGTTTAACGGCGGTTGGCATCCAATTTGTTGCATTACCGCCACCTACTAGACTGGAGTTCATCTCCCTTATCTTTCCTTGACAAATAAAAAATAAAACAAAGCAAAGAAATACCCTACCATCTAACACAACACTCACAAATTCAAAACTATTACTAATAATTAACCTCACCCTTCTCCACTATTTAAATATACTCACTCCTACCTCATGCCCGCAACCTGAAATGATGGGACATCACCACTTAACACTCCCTGTAACTCTTCTGCTGTCAAGTCTCGCACACCCAAATATCTCTCTGCAGCTGCCACCACTACCTCAATTTTCTTTGATGTGCGTTCCATCCCTGCAGTACAATTAATAACCATTGCTATAAACGCTAAAAATTCTTACTGAAACATAACTTTCGGGTTTATCCCTCTGTACTGGTACATCTCTACTACTCACACCATTTCCCTCAGGATCCCTCCCCCTTGACCCATCTTCCTCTACTTTCTTCACTGCCTCCGCATATGACAACTTCTTCTTTACTCTTACCCTGGATACCTCAACCTGCTTCTCTCGCACTGGACATGTCTGATCCCCAGCCCCATGGCCACACCTACAATTAGCACACACCACCACTTTCCCCACTGCTTCACACTCCTTTGTCTCGTGCCCTTCTGCACACTTCTCACACCTTGGAATCTCCCTCCTACACACTGCTGCCATATGCCCATAAATTTGACATTTGTTGGTGAACACATAATTAGGAGAGGAAGTACAAACCAACGACGCTAGACAGAGAGGAATTTGCTTAAGCAAAAGGCAGTTTATTAAACACAGAGATATCTTGTACTGTTAGGCTACATGCATGGGATCCTGCTAATTAACATGCATGGACCCAATCAATTGCCTCTTATGGAGACAGTTGAGAAGGATGTTTAAACAGAGTTTACAGCATTACTTTATACAATGTAACATAAAGGAAGGGGTCCTTCTTCTAGTCCCTTGATTGGTTCCCGAGGCGTAGGAGGCGGGTCTGCTCTGTCCAGAGCAGATGCCCCATTGGTGCACGGCAGAGTCCTCTGCCCTTGGCACCCGACCAGTAGAAGGGGAGTTGAGAATGAGTGTGCGTGCAAATGAAAGGTTTGTGTGTCAAAGAACTCGTGGGGAGTTGAGAATGAGTGTGCGTGCAAATGAGATGTCTGTGTGTGTCAAAGGAAACTCGTGAGAAGCAACTGGTGGGGGCCTTGGGCCTGAGGTGTGGGTGTTGTCCAGTTATCGTACTCCTGTAAGATTAGGCCATCTGGTGCTCTGTTCTTTGTTCGCTACTAAAATGTTATGCACAGACAACTAACACACTGTTAGTATCAGACACATGACACAGAACATTTATTGAAAACAAGCTCCTAACACAATTTGTCTTGCACAACCTCTTGCACAACATATTACTCAGATCAATCTATAACATTTTATATTTACTACGACACACCTGTAACATCTTAAGGTATTCGGCACATATGCTCGCACTGGATAACTTGTATATCCTAACCTCACTTTCTCAGGCAAAGACTCAACTTCAAAACTCAAAAGAACAGACAATGACTCTTCTGTTTCCCCCCTCTCGCCACCCTGTTTACGTCGCACCAAACGACGAGCATCACACACACCGGGAATCTTCTCCTTCAGTTGATCCATTTTTACATTTACTGCTACCCCAGTAATCACTCCTCTCAATGGCGCCCTTTTCTTAAGAGCGAAACAATTCACAATTCTTTCCCCCATTTGTTTAATCCTGAGTGCCTTCTCCCTCTGACCAACAAAAACACAAACAATTATCATTAGACCACTTCTTGTTACCCTCACCGATTACACTTTACCCAACGCTTTTTTTCACCCATCTTGAAACCACAATTGGATCAGCCAAAAGGCAAGGGTCCACTTTTTCCACAAACTTCACTCCTACTGTCACAGACTCATCTTCATCCTGACCCGCTGTGCAATCCTCAGCCTCCAAGTGCTTCACCACACCTTCCACCTCAGATACTTCACCCTCATTCACTTCAATTTCTACTCCTGTCTTCAGCGCACTTTGCTTACATTTCCTACCACTCTTCTTTAACAAACCTTCTCCCTTTTTCCTGCCATTTGTACCAGACTCAACCTCACAATCTTCCTCCATCTCTCTCTTAGACCTCATCTGCCTCTTTTTCCCTCCATTCCTCCTCATTCAACCAAGTATACGTCTCCTTATGATAATACTGCATTTCTCCTAACCATCTGTCTCTTGCCTTCTTATTTTTTATTTCACCTTTATTTAACCAGGTAAGCCAGTTGAGAACAAGTTCTCATTTACAACTGCGACCTGGCCAAGATAAAGCAAAGCAGTGCGATAAAAACAACAACACAGAGTTACATATGGGGTAAACAAAACATAAAGTCAAAAATACAACAGAAAATATATATACAGTGTGTGTGAATGTAGTAAGTTATGGAGGTAAGGCAATAAATAAATAGGCCATAGTGCAAAAATAGTTACAATTTCGTAATTAACACCGGAATGATAGATGTGCAAAAGATGATGTGCAAATAGAGATACTGGGGTGCAAATTAGCAAAATAAATAACAATATGGGGATGAGGTAGTTGGGTGGGCTAATTTCAGAATGGCTGTGTACAGGTGCAGTGATTGGTAAGCTGCTCTGATTTATAGGACTCCATTTCCCCCCTCATTTCCCTTCCGGTGTCTATTCTATCCTCGGCCTTGACCTCTTCATTTCTCTCCTCTTCTGATCCGCTGTCCTCTCCTGAATCACCATCGTCTTCCGATCCCTCATCCGATCTGTTATCCTCACTATCATCGGGACTTACTCCCTTTCCAACTGCTCGTCTTTTTGCTGAAGACGCCATGCCATCATCTTCCTCCACATGCGTTTGCCTTTTTAACGTAGGTCTTAAATCCTCACAAAAATAGAATAAGATTGGTTTTGGGAAACGATATCTGAAAAAGTCCCATCTCTCTAAAAACGCGCTCTTTGCGAAATGCAGCGTGTGCCAGCCACCATATCTTCCAACAGCAATATCAGCCATCTCTCATTCGATTTCCCATTATCTCAGTCTTCTATATTATTTCAACAATGGTTTCACTTTCACACGTACCTCTAATTTAAAAAAATGACTGTACTTTATATGGATTATTATCGTAACAAATGCACTGATGTCGTAAAATTATAGAGCATGTCAAGATATGTTGCATGAATTCTCAATGGAAATCGAATCCCTGCTGCTGCAAATACTGCCTCCAAAATAACACAGTTTTCTTTACTGCAGTAATTTTACAGTTTAACTGCAGTTAGAGTGCAGTTCAACTGCAGTACACCGCAGTTATTCTGCAATTACTGTGTCCAAAATACCACAGTCAACTGCAGTTACTGCTCTTTTACTCGTTTCAAAACTGCAATCTTTTTTGTAAGGGATGAAATCAAAAAATTATTACTCTCACAATTTCACATATTTTCAAACATATATTTTCTCCATTCTACGCTTAACAAGCAGTTCTCTTATTCCATATATTCCACCACTTGGCACTGTGCATACACATGGTCATGGCTGTGTGTAAATTTACACACACTCAAGCAAACGTTCATATTGATAATGCCACGTTCACGTTCTAGTCGGAACTAGGAAACTCTGACATTTCCGACTTGCTAGCTGGTTGTACTTATACACGTGCCACATTTAACCAGTTAGCAAGTCGGAAATATCAGAGTTCCAACTATCACCTGCAGGCGTGTAAAACTCATTCCATGGCGGGCTGAATGTCTGCAGGTTTTCGCTCCTCCCTTGTACTTGATTGATGAATCAAGGTCACTAATTAGTAAAGAACTCCCCACACCTGGTTATCTAGGGCTGAATTTAAATGAAAAAACAAAAACCTGCAGACACTAGGCCTTCCATGGAATGAGTTTGACACCCCTGCTCTAGTCTAGACAATCCTATCTGCCAATCAGGTGTGTATGTAAATATATTTACATTTTTATCAACACGCCCATAAGATTAGACTGAGTATTTCAATGGCAAAAGGAGGCTCAGGGAAATACATGATAAAAAATAAATTTGGAGTTATTTTCATTTAATAAACACACACAGTGATTTATTAGACATACAGTCATTTAAAAAAAAAAATAGTCAGGTGTGATGAATATCTGCAGTGAGCCAATAACAGCCTTTTGGTTACTCGTCTGCAACCTAATTTGGGCCCAGACTACCTTGGCAGAATCTCATATCTATTTTGTTGATTCATCTCCATCTGCGAGGAGACGAATATTGAAACAAATGCGCTTGTATGAAATGAGACTCTCCTTCTCTAGGGCATTATCAGGCAAATTATGTTTACAGAGGTGGAATCCCCAAATAAAGTGGTAATAAGAAATGTAGCTAGTTGTGCTTGACATTTTATAGATAAAAGGATGAGTAGCATATAGCTTTTAAATGTGTGGATGCTTTTCTCTTCTGAGAAAAACAACAGCTGTTTCCAAGGAGAGTGTGGCAGATTTCAAAACTCTTCCGTGGTAGGATACACCTGAGCATCCTCCGCCGGAGCAGGCAATCGAGGAGAGGAGCAAACTCCTTCGTTCGCCTATTAACAAGTTGACACTCTCCTATATATGGCGACCACTTATGGTTTCCGGGTTACGAGTCGAGGAGAGGACTGACTTTGGCCCAATTGAAAATCTCCCCAAGACAGGCCTTTGTTTAATGTGTGTGTGTGTGTGTGAGGGATTATTCAATGTGAGCGTGCACAATTTATTGATGAAAAAATGATTTATTTTCATCCACTTCCACTCTGAGAACTGCCTGTTGAGATATTTTACATTTTAGTCATTTAGCAGACGCTCTTATCCAGAGCGACTTACAGTTAGTGAGTGCATACATTTTCATACTGGCCCCCGTGGGAAACGAACCCACAACCCTGGCGTTGCAAGCGCCATGCTCTACCAACTGAGCTACAGGGGACTACAACGTAACACATCACAGATATAAGATATAAGCAGGGGGTTTTGAAGTTAAAAGATTGTGGGAGATACTGTATGGTGATGGGTGTTGCATGTCCATGCATGCACACCATGAGAAGGTGTCAGAAGGAGAAAGATCCCTGCTGAAACCCCCCCCCCCCATCATAGACCAGCATATAGTGCCTTCAGAAAGTATTCATACCCCTTGACTTATTCCACATTTTGTTGCAGCCTGAATTCAAAACGGATTAAATATATTATTTTCTCACCCATCTACACACAACACCCCATAATGACAAAGTGAAAGCATGTTTTTAGATTTTTTAGCAAATTATATGAAAATTAAATACAGAAATATCTCATTTAGGCTACATAAGTATTCACACCCCTGAGTCAATACGTGTTAGAATCACCTATGGCAGCAATTACAGCTGTGATGTGAGTCTTTCTGGGTAAGTCTCTAAGAGCTTTTCACACTTGGATTGTACAATATTTGCACATTATTTATTTTTGTAATTTTTCAAGCTCGGTCAAGTTGGTTGTTTATCATTGTTAGACAGCCATTTTCAAGTCTTGCCATAGATTTTCAAGCCGATTTATGTCAAAACCGTAACTAGGCCACTCAGGAACATTCAATGTCGTCTTGCTAAGCAACTCCAGTGTATATTTGGCCTTGTGTTTTAGGTTATTGTCCTGCTGAAAGGTGAATTTGTCTCCCAGTGTCTGTTTTCCTCTAGGATCTTGCCTGTGCTTAGCTCTATACCTTTCTTTTTATCCTAAAAAACTCCCTAGTTCTTGCCAATGACAAGCATATCCATAACATGATGCAGCCACCACCATGCTTGAAAATATGAAGTGTTACTCAGTGATGTGTTGCGTTGGACTTGCCCCAAACATAACGCTTTGTATTCAAGACATAGTTAATTTCTTAGCCACATTTTTTGCAGTTTTATTTTAGTGCCTTATCGCAAACAGGATGCATGTTTTGGAATTAAATTAGTATTGTGGAGTCTTCTACAATGTTGTTGATCCATCCTCAGTTTTCTCCTACCACAGCCATTAATCTCTGTAACTGTTTTGGCCTCATGGTGAAGTCCCTGAGCAGTTTCCTTCCTCTCCAGCAGGTTAGGAAGGAGGATGCCTGTATCTTTGTAGAGACTGGGTATATTAAGACCATCCAATTAATAGCTTCACCATGCTCAAAGGGACATTTCATTTCTGATTTGTATTTTATTTTGACCAATTTACCAATATGTGCCCTTCTCCGCGAGGCATTGGAAAACCTCCCTGGTCTTTGTGGTTGAATTTGTTTTTGAAATTCACTGCTCAACTAAGGGACCTTACAGATAATTTAATGTGTGGGGTACAGAGATGAGGTACTCATTCAAAAATCATGTTAAACACTATTTTTGTACACAGAGGCCATGCAACTTTTTATGTGACATGTTAAGCATATTTTCACTCCTGAACTTATTTAGGCTTGCCATAACAAAGGCAATACTTATTGACTCAAGACATTTCACCTTTTCATTTTTTATTAATTTGTAAAAAATGTCTAAAAACATAATTCCACTTTGACATTATGAGGTATTGTGTGTAGGCCAGTGACACAAAATCACAATTTAAAATTCAGGCTGTAACACAACAAACTGTGGAAAAAGTCAAGGGGTGTGAATATTTTCTGTAGGCACTGTATACTAGTGCTGGTATGCTGGTGACCAGTTTATGCTGGGAATAATGGTATGCTGGTGACTAGCATACCAGCATAAACTGGTCACCAGTGTACCAGCATATGCTGGTCACCAGCAAAACCAGCATCAAAGTGCTTAATTATTAGTGATGCTCCAAAGATTTTGTATAATTTCAGCGAGCAGTTTTGAAAGTAGTGCTCACGAGCCAAAATTGGTCCCTGAAAATGTTGCACAATTGTGAACTACATCATCCATTTCATATATGTTACGAATTGCAAAAAAAAATTAAAGTCCAATTCGTACAATATGTTAAACATTTGTAAGTGCTTAGGATCCCAGACTGCATCTTTAAGACAATACATTTCATATATCATAAGGCCTTACTTTGAGGTTCTAGTTTTTCCCTAATACAATGGCCACATCAGGCCTGAAAGTCACATTATGCTGGCTTGCAAAGTGATGTTTAATTCCTATTGGAATCCAGCCAGAGTGGGGATATCCAACAATTGTAACTTTTGTTCACCCACAATCTGCATTCAGAATGACTGCCTGGGTTAGAAAGATGAATAAATGAGACTACCTAAACCATCTAAACTGGAACAACCATCTCAGTAACGGGTGCAATAAGTCCAACTAACAGATTGGATTAGTTTAGAAACATTTATGTTATTTATCTTTGTGTAGCATAAGATTAATTAATCAATCAATGTACATGCAAAAACACAGATATTGAAACAAACAATTCAAAAAAAATCTAACTGCAATAGAGCATGCTGGGAAATATAATAATGATGGGGTGTAGTTTTGCCATCTAGACCATGCTGGTCAAACCAGCTTGACCAACTAGTTGACCGACGTTATAATTTAAAGGTAGACTCAGTGAGATGACGTTGCCATGAGCAGCACTGCAGATATTGAAATGAGCCTGATGTAAGACTTGTCTCTTACACAATCACACAGAGTATCTGCGCATGTGCACTTCACGTGTGGCAGCTACGGGACCAAAACAGTGGAGAAGTTTAGCCTCGCCCTTCAACTCTACCTTTAAACCTATCCCATCACATTTACATTTCCATTTTAGTCATTTAGCAGACGCTCTTATCCAGAGCGACTTACAGTTAGTCACATTATGCATTATTGCCCCACAGTGGCAAGAAGTGACAACCCAAAAAACAACCTACAACAGTCATGAAAACGATGCACACGCTTCAATGGGGCAGAAGTCCATGTATTGTGTTTAAATCTGAATGCCCAGATGGCTAGCAACAATGACAAGAAGCTGACATGTGGGGTATCGTAGGTGGCTAGTTTTATCTTGTTCTTGATACCATGTCTTGTTTAGAGGTGTTTTGACTGATGTCACGTCTATGCTAATATAGCAACATTTTGCTAGCTGCCTAACCAACAACTGTAACGATGTATTTGAGACAAGCGCTCATTGTTCAAATATATGTTTTCAATAAACATTGGAGACGAAATATAGTTTGCATGTCAACAATCTAAGCCAATCCAGGCTGTTTCGCCCCATAGTTGCGCACGTCAGTTTTGTTGCTAAACAACTAACCTGTCTATAACGTCATTGAAATGCATTAATGAACATTGAAACTACCATAAAACAAAGACCACAAAGTTGAATACACTTTAATCAATTAAATACTTTTTTCAAATGTTATACTGGAATGTTATGATTCCCCCTCTATTTCTGTAGTTAAACTGTCCCATCTAGCCATCTTCAAAACCCATTATATAACCAACAGCATTCAAATTTCAGGAATAAAAACAACACATAAAAACTAAAAAAAACATAACCACTACGTTGTCCTTATGAAGTGGATATTAAAGGAGCGCATTCGCTCGTCATGGGAGTAAATTACTGACTGGAGTAATACGAGGGAGGTGGTGTCACTGTCAGCAGAATCATCCTTGCAATAGGACCAAAGTATTCCCTCTATTGATGTTGGTTTGATGACTGAAGAAAAAACAACTGATATGGACCATAGTATACTGATCAGATCTACCTTTTCAACAACATAAGTTTGTAAATAGTAAACGGTGAGCTTGCTATGGAGCTTTCAATTGATTACATTTCAAGAACTCCTACAGCCACAAATGCAGTGGTTTGCCTTGTGAATTGACTGTTCTTCTCATGGTTTGTCTGTCTGGTTTTCAATAACTATGTCTATGTTGGGAAGAGATTAACAGTTCGTACTTGAGATTTGAGTAGAATTTTGAAAAGGGGGAAAGAAAATACCAAAAACCATTTATAGTGCCGATGTTTACTGCATTTCTACGTATGTCTACAGAACACAAAGGACAAGTTAAAAGCAATAAGAGAACAGGTTAATGTCAACAGTTAGAGGACTAAATGGACAGATCGATGCAACCATATTGTGTGCTTACTCTTTTCAATCTTAACAGTTTGTCAATACCACAGCCAACACCTGAAGCTACATATTGAGATGAATCAATCGAATGAAAAAACCTGCCTTTAGTGGGTAAACAGGCGGCATTAAAATTGATTTCTGGTGAACCTGCATTTATGATACAAAAAAACAAAACATGAAAGACCACTTGAGTAGTCCTGCTTTCTTCAAAATCTGGTCCTATGTTTAATGTTCAATGTATAAAAGACAAAATGGCTCTGGTAGAGGAGGCATGATTCTTTGCAGGTGGGGATGATTTTAATTTCTCAACCTCAAAAGCAGGGAGATGAACCAGCTGAATACTGACCAGCTCTCAGCCAACACAACAGGGTCATGTTCATTAGGCACCAAACAGAACAAAACTGACTGAATCAGGGAGGGACTACCTGGACTTGTATAATTAGAAAGGCTATTTTTTGTTTTCTGCAAATGAGATAGGATAATATTTCGTTTTCTGTTACAAAACATACTTTTTTTTTGTCCTAATGAACACATCCCTGATGCTTGTCTGTAGCTAGTACCGTTCCCCCCTCACCACTTAACCAAGAGCACCATCTCCCTCTTCTGCTGCCCCTTTGGTCATCCCACCTCTCCTCGGCAGATAACAGCATGTTCGCTGCCCGTTACATTTAATTCTATATATACTGTAGATCTTTTTCTCTCTCATACAAACATAAATACACCAATACTGCACTCCGCCGAGGGTTTTTTGAAGGGCTGAGTCCTGTTGATGTGTACAGTCTCAAATGTTACACAGGCGGGCGGGCAGGCAAGTATTTATTTTGTCTTCTCTGGAGCTTTGACGTAGATTTTTTACAGGATCTCGTATTTGTCGACGAGGAACGAAGTTTCTAAAGAGAATTTTACTGGTGCGTCTCCTTCTACGTGAGTCACTTTGGCAACCTGAGGGAATAGGAGAAAAACGCAATGTGATGAGTGAAATGCAGGGATAGCAATGTCAGCAAGAGCATTGTGTTCCATCATTTGACTGTAGGCCTAAATGTCCATAGTTAGTAAGCTTCAATGTAAAAAGCTGAAACTTGCCTGTATGTCGCAATAATTGCGTATGGATACGAAGGACACGTTGACGGGGAAGAAGTCGTTGGGTTGCCCGGCGACACTGAACTCCAGGCTGCCACTTTTGTTTTTGGCATCTATGACAGGTAGGCTCCACTCTAGAACGTTCCGTCTGCTGTCGTGCTTATACTCTCCGTCCACATCTCCTACCACAGGTGCCCCAACTCCAGACCTGCACCAGGAAATACACCCATATACTGTAAACAACGCAACCATCAACTTTGGGCTGGTTTACCGGACACAAATGAAGCATAGTCTTAGACTAAAAACCACCTCAATGGAGGAACTCCATTGCACATGCTTCTTAGTCCAGGGCTAAGCTTAAATCTGTTTCTGGGAAACCAGCCAATAGAGAACCCAGCAAGGTTGTTATACAATCTCAACACATTACAATAAAATTATATTAACATTTGATCACCCATGTACTCACGGTATAGGGATAGCAATAACTACATCGTTGAGTTCAAGGCTCTCCTCCTGCAGTTCATATTCAATGTTCACGTCGCAGCCAGTAGCACTCTCTGAAGGCCAGCAGTTTACTACAGACAAAACAAGGTGCAATTACATTTTAAAATGTACTATAGTTAACACTAAATAATAATTGCAGATCACAGATGGTGCCGGCAAGATGACAGGTTGAGAAAGGCATTGGAATGAGACTCACTGGTTAGAGGTATGAGAGCCTCGTCTGTGCTTTGGAGTCTCCACTTCAGCACCCCCACATCGTTGTTGAGGGGGAAAGACTTCTCGGGGTTCTTCAGACCAATCACAGAGTCTGAAGTGAAGAGCTTCTTATCCACGTTGGGATGCGTCTAAATACCAGGGAAGATACAATCAATTCCAACACAGTGGACATACGTTATCTCTCTGATATGGGATGAATTACTTCAACTACCTCAACTAGCCGGTGCCCCCGCACATTGACTCTGCACCGGTACCCCCCTGTATATATAGCCTCCCTACTGTTATTTTATTTTACTTCTGCTCTTTTTTTCTCAACACATTTTTTGTTGTTGTTTTATTTGTACTTTTTTGTTTAAAATAAATGCACTGTTGGTTAAGGGCTGTAAGTAAGCATTTCACTGTAATGTCTGCACCTGTTGTATTCGGCGCATGTGGCCAATAAAATTTGATTTGATTTGGAATTGTTACAGAAATCTTTTAATACATTGGGCCGTGTTCAGTTGGAGCACACGGGGAGAAACATTGTGAAATGGTGCTGGGGTAACTAGTCAAATAAGAACACAGGATTTCTCGCAACGTTGTGCCCTACTGAACATCACCCAGGAGTCTTTAAAAAAGGTCATGGGTCAGTCTGGATCTGAACAACTCACCTGCAGTTGTACTCCCTTCTTGTCGTAGTTGTTGACCATTAGGCGGATGCGGCCGACCTTGTCGTCGGTCACTCTCAGGGTGATCATGCCCAGAAGCTCCATGTTCTGTAGACCTCCGTCACGTCCACAGGTCAGGCTGATCTTCTCCTCAACTCTCATGTGGACACTAAGGAAAACATACACAGGTGTCATCAAGGTTAAGATTGAGGTTATCATCACACATGGGAATTATGTCAATAGTAAAGCACATGCACAGACATTGAATGCAAGATAAAGACAGATGCACAACCTTGGCTTACTTTCAAAAATGAACATTTCAAGAACAGGAACAATGTACCTCTCCACATTAACTGGTGGTGGTAGGACATTGGATGCAAGCAAAGGCCTTTTCCCTGTGTTGGACATGATGGTTTCCCCCTCCCCCCTGAGCTTGTCCACAAAGTTGTCCACCTCTTTCCCCCTGGCGCCCAGCTTGAGGGCTTTGCTGGATCCGGTCGGCCTGTGGGAGAAACACAATCATCAGTACCAGCCTCTGTATCTGTGGCCCAGAGTTTTTCCTGGTCCGGTTACGTTCAGGGTGGGAAATGTAACACCCGCCAAATGCGGGTAGAATTTTAGGCATTGGCGGGAAAGAACGTCTTTCACCAGCCACGTTGGTGGATGGTCACATAAAGCATTTGGAACCGTTTTCTTTCTCAATCCAAAGCCCAAATGTAGAAGTTGGTCGAATTGACGAAAGGCTACTAAAGTGTGACTTTCTCCTCATGTTTGTTGTCTAGTTAGACAATGTTTTGTTCACACGCTAGGTTGTTTTTCAATATTAGTTTGAGTTTGCTGCAACTGTCTGTTGCTAGTGCAGATGCAGAGATTCTCAATCATCTCTGACAAACACTGAGTGCCGTTGCCACAGTAATGGCCCACCCCTTAAAGGGGCAGCTGAACATTTGTCTCACCTAATGACTCAAATATTTCAGGTTACATTGTGTTTGAGCATGGAACACTCCAAAAATATTTTCATAAACTTTTAGTAATGTCTTATTAAAACGCTCACATAAATTGAGGAGTACAATTACATTATTTATGTTCTCATAAATATCAACTTATGTACTCCTTGTAAAAAATGTCAGCGTTAGAGCCATGAACTAATAATAATAAATAATTCGTATCACTCAGCATTGTGTGGCAGGGCAGGGACTTTTGATTCTTAATGTTCAGTTGTAGAACTGTTTATCTGTTTTACTTTATACTATTGTAACTAATTGATTGCTTTTAACATACATTGGTTAAAAGACAGGTCACAAAAATGATATTGAATGGAGCAATTTACCACATTACTTCTTACTAGTAAAGCATACACATCCGTCATGTGATTTTTGGTGTAATTATGGCGAGAAAAATATTTTGGCTGGTAAAGAATCTGAATGGTTGGTAGATTTTCTCATCTACCTGCCACAGTGGCTGTTGGACCAAAAAGTAAATTTCCCACCCTGGTCACGTTATCAGGAAAAACTCTGGGCCATATCTGCCAATCAATGTGCATTGGAGCACAGTCTAATAAAATTATACACACAATCAAATTCAACACCTAAATTCCATAATTTCCGTACCTGACTGGGACGGGAGCCATCTTGGGTTTCTCGGGTTCGATGATGGTGTCTGTGATGATAGACCCTGAGGACATGCTGCTCATCCCGGCGCTGCCGAAGCCGCCGAAGGCCGGGACCTTCTTCCCCGAGCGCTCGGCGTCTCGCCTGACCTGCTGCAGCTCTTTGGCCTTTCGCCGCATCTCTGCCTTGGCCTCTCGCTCCTGGGTCTGTGGGGCCGAGCAGATGAGGAGGAACGTTCAAATCATGGTTACTATAAGCTAAAGCCACACACATCCTCTGGACATTATGGGCGCTTTAGCTACAAGTGTCTCACCTCTCTGACTGCCCGGAACACCTTCTCCTCGTGAGAGTCCATCTCGGTGAAGGTGCGGATCTGGGCCAGGTTGACGTTCTCCCTGTAGCCCAGGGCCACGATCTCGTCGAAGGCGAATATCAGGTCGAAACAGTGGTCTGAGATCTCCCCTTCCTCCAGCACACGGCAGTACTCTGGGATCTGAAAAGAGAAAAACACAACTGAATGTTTCAATATCAAACCAACAGTCATAATACGTTTATAGTTTATAGTGGGATATGATCCCATTTGAAGTTATTGGTGAGATGGATGAATTCTGAACTCGTAAGCAGCAGTGGGCTGTTATAGCATAGGGTTATCCCCTGTGCTGCTCCCAGCCTGTCGTGTGGGTCCTGTGTCCTATGACCGCAAAATGAACTATTTCCATTGTCTCTGTGTAATGGATAAATAAAGATGTATTGGATCGTATCATACCACGCGTGAGAACAGCCGTAGTGTCTCCAGGTCTTCCAGGATGTTACTGTTCTTGGTGGTGATCAGCACCATGTAGAGCTTCTCCAAGGGCTGGTAGACGTAGCGCACGCTCTCCGTCTCCACAAACGTGTGCTGCTTGCCCATGCCCATGAGCTTGGGGAAGGCGGCCAGGAGGCCCTCGACACGCGTCCGGGTCATCTCCACAAACTGCCGTGACACGATTGCTTTGCCTGCCTTGGTGCACACCGCCGCGGCCAAAAGCACCTGCAGGGAGGACAGAGAGAATCACAAACATTCATTCATAAGTGGGATGTCTCCATTAATGATGACAGAGTGATAGACAGGGTAACCATAAGTGGTACAAATCTGTTAGCCAAGCAAGGTAGTTATGTGCCAATTTACTTAGAAAGCAGATCACAACACTACCATTACGCATGTTTACACTGAGCTGCACTGGAGTCAGAAAGCAATCATGGTTACATTAAGACACCATGGAGCCGGTGCGAGATATGGGTCGGAAAACGTACCTCAATGCAGGGATGGGATATGCCACTGCTGTGGCTCCTAGCTAGCATGAGCATGAAAGGGCAGTTTTCCGGGAAAAATAGCAGTATTTCAATTTTCTCTATGTATCAGTATGGAATTATACAATTTGGAGTACAGTGGAATATCCCATCCCTGCATTGAGGTACGTTTTCAGTGTAAACAAGTGTAAAAGTAGGGTCAGAATATGCTGGCTACAATTTACTATAGGTGACAAAAGAAAGTCCTCTTCAGTCACTTATCATCCCAGAATACCAGGACCAAGGCAAGGCATGTTATCGCATTGATCCAAACGACTTCATTTACTAGATTACCGAGTGCAAATCAATGACAATGTCATTCAGCCACGATCCATTGGTTGCCATATCTTGATAACTAGCTAGCTAGTTAACTAGCCTAGCAAGGCCAAGTATTTAACGTTACCAGTCTACATAGCTTAGCGCAGTTAGCAGACAGCCAGCAGTAGCAGACAACCTGTGAAATGCAAAGATATATCTAGATTGCTAGTTAAATTGTAGCTAGCTAGCTACCTAGTTAGCTAGTAAACTAAACTTAGCTAGTTAGCCAGCTAGCGATAGCTAACTGAACTGACACCAAGCACTAGCTGACATTTGTGCTAGCTAGTTAACTTAGCTAGCTAGCTAACGTCGTTACATTAAATAGCTGCGAGTAATAGTAGCATTATATAGTTAACTTCGCTAATAAAGTTCACTGACTACCTTTGTGGTTGTCTGGCAAGTTAAGTTTGATTTGTTTTTCATTTCATTGTGCCAAGGGGCTAGCTAATGATAGCAAGCTAATGTTTGTTGTTATGATCAAGCTAAAGCGGAAAAGATGATAAAGCCTTGACATGTGACTCTATGCTCACCATTTTTAGTTTATCTTTAGGAAAACTATCTTCAATCTTCGACGGTGTTTGCTCAGTCGAGTTCCAGTATATCTAAAGAGCCTTCAGAAATAAAATATAGTTGGATAGCTAGCTAACTTGTTTGTTGCTAGTGCGTCAATATGGCAGGCGGGCAGAGCCACGTCTCCAACCAGAAGAGTTGTTTCCTTGATAAACCACTAGCTCGCTTTGTCGTGGAAAACTTCACAACGTCAAAAGTTGCGCGCTGTATGCTTGAACCATAGAGATAGATAGAGGACTCTTCTTTGGGATTTGGTTGGTGGATCGCATCCAACTTTTAGGCGCATACACTGCCACCTACTGAACTGGTGTGTGAGGCCATTCACTGCCTATCTACATTAAATTATTTGATATGGTAATACAAAATTGGGGAAAGGGAAAATTGCCCTGCCAACTATTAGCCCTATCTAAAAAAAAAAACACCAACACATTTCACTATTTAACCCTATCTAGTCCTATTCCAGACAAATGGTCTGAGAGGACATAACACTACTGCTCAACACCCCCTGCAGCTGTTCTGCAGTAAATCCTCGTAATCCCAAGTACTTCTCTGCCACCACAACCTATTTTTTTCAATCCATTTCTGCAGTACAATTGGCAACCATCGCTATGAAATGCCAAAAAGCCCACCTTACTGAAGCACATATTATTCCCATCACTCCATTGGTCTCTGCCTACTCACAGGAATCCTCTCAGGATCCCTCACCCTGTACCCATCTTCCTGTACCACTCTCTTCACTGCTTCGGCATACAACAGTTTCTGTACTACTCTAACCCTGGCAACTTCAATCTGCCTTTCTCTCACCAGACACCTCCATCTCCAGCCCCATGGGCACCCCCACAGCTAACACACATAACTTTCTCCACCGATACCACACATTCCTTTGTCTCATGCTCTCTGGCACACTTCTCACATCTAGGCATCTCCCTCCTACACACTGCTGCAACATGCCCATAAACTTGACACCTAAAACACTGTAGTATTGTCAGAATAAAATCTCTCACGGGATAACTGACACTTCCTACCTTGACCTTATCTGGCAAAGACTGTATCAAAACTCAGCCTGACAGACAATGTCTCCTCAGTTTCCCCATGCTCTCCACATCTCACCAAACGGCGGGCGTCACAGACACCGGGAATCTTCAATTTCAACTGATCCTCCTCAACACTTAATGCAACCCTCATTATCACTCTTTTCAACGGCTCCCCTGCTCTGAAGAGCAAATCAAGTCACAATTATTGTCCCTAATCGTGTAATCCGGAGCGCTCGCTCCCTCTGGGCGGACGAAACACAATAAATCATCATGAGTCCACTCCAAGTTACCTTCACCAACCACTTCTCCACCCAACCTGACACCACATATGGATCAGAAAAAATGCAAGGATCCATTCTCTCTATAAATCTCACTCCAACTGGGCCAGAATCATCCTTAGGACGAAGCCCGAACTCGGTGGTCCTCACCACAGATACTTCAGCCTCACTCTCGCCAGGTTCCATCTCTGAACTACTGGAGCACGTATCCCTCTTTTTGCACTTGACGCCAACCTCCCTCACCGCTTCCCTCTATACTCAACTTCTTCTCAGCAGTCATCACTGCACTTGCCACCACAGTTAATTCATCCTCACTCTCGTCACGTTCAATTTCCTTCTCAAGCTCTTCCAAAAGTTCTATGAGATCCTCCATTCCATATTCACTCAAAACAAATGCCACTTTTCTCATTTTTTTCCTTCTCCACCATCTTCTCCTTCACCAGATCTTCCAAAAAGCTTGTGCAATCCCCCATTCCATATTTGTTCATAACATGTTCCACTTTCTTCCTCTTTTTCTTGTCTGCCATCTTACCGCATCTCAGCTCATCACCATCCCTCCCTGCCTCTTCGATAAAGACTAATCTTTGTATCTGTGCCATTAAAGCATCTGTGATAGCAGTTGCACAACTGAATGCATTCAACCGAAATGTGTCTTCCGCATTTAACCCAACCACTCTGAATTAGAGAGGTGCGAGGGGCTGACTTAATCGACGTCCAGGGCAGTGCCATTGAGGCTATCTCCATTTTAAAGTAGTCAATTTTCTTCTTCTTTATTGGCTGATTGCTTCCAACTCATAGGAATCACCACCCAGTAAATGGTTGGAAGCCCTCAATGGCAATGTCCATGCTAAAACGTGTTATAGTCATGATGAGTCCTCTATCTATCTCTATGGCTTGAACACGTTTTTGTACAGAGAAAGAAACTAGAAGTAGGCTAGATAGATACTCCGACATTTCGGAGAAGAGGATCAGGCTTGGAAAGTAGCTAGTGTTCCAGCCTTGACCCTTTCTTTTATAGCTCAATGACAATGGTCTAGCTAGAAGACAGTGGTCAGCTGAGCACATTTTACTTATAAATGGTCAATGTACAAAAAAGGCCATTCTTACTAAGTTAGCTAATTTTCTAGTGAAATGTACAATCACCTTAATAAGAAAATCAAGAAATAGGGCTGTTCAAACGGTTACTGTGTGTGACCAAGAACACATTTGCAAGTTGCTTTTTTAGATGTTCGTGAACGCAGCCAAAGCACACGGAAGTGAAATGACATTCCGTGGAGTGACGTCAGAAGGGCATCGGCAGTCGGCAGAATTGACCCTAGTTACAAATGCCCTTTTCATCCCTGATTACAAGGAATTAGCTATATTCTCATGGATTGAATGTCGGGAATAATTGTCACTGACAAAGACAATACTCGCTGATCATTACTGCCACACTGAGATGTCGGGAGAGACGAGTTCACAGGTGAGAGAATTGGCTAGTTAGCTAGCACTCTGCATAACATTCATACCAGTGATAACATTCCGCGCAGTGAGGCATGCGCCATTTTTACAGCCAACCCGAAACGCGCTGATTGGTTTACTCACGCGCCCTTCTGCACCTCCGAGCTTTACCATTGGATAATACATCTTATAAATCAAAGGGTTTACATTAGAAATAACATCTGCCTCACCATCAGCAGCCACACCCATTGAACCTGTAGATTATACGTTTATATAATGTTATGTTTAGCTGTCCTTTTCTAGTGGCAGATTGACAGTTCCTGTAGTAAAAATTATATGTGCGTTCATTCATGAAACTAGCCCTAAATAACAGCATAATATGATGTTGCTCCCTGTCAGAGCTTCTAGAGTTGCTGTACTATATGCCTGCAACCAATGTTGCCTGCGTAGTAACCCGGAGACTGCCGCGCAGAAATATCAACACAGAGAGAAGGACGAGATTGAATTGAACTCAACTTTCTAGAGCAGTGGTCACCAACCGGTCTATCGCGATCTACTGGTCGATCTCCAAGGCATTCCTATTCGATCGCCAAACATTTCTGTAAAAACCCCAAAGATAAAGCCTTGAGTTTTCGTCTGGGCTGTTAGCGGTAGGTACTCCCGATTCAGCTGCCATGCGTGCCGGATAGGCGAACTGTTGCCAGTTTGAACCATTTCATGTGTCTGAAGGTACAAACTCTGCCTTCCCGGCGGGCCCAGAGAGCAAACCAAGTGCACTATGGGTTACCGCTGGCCAATCGGATGGCTCAGATGACCGTGTCTGCAGTAATGTAGCAGGCACAAGAAATCTACAGCCAAATGGATACTATGAGATTTCAAAACGTTTAAAACCATGACTAGAGAGAGACTGTCAACGAATACAGCAAAGAGCTGCTGTTTTTATGAGTGAGCATATGTTTAAATTCTTACTCAGCACTGTCAACACTTTGTAGTCAACACTTTTATAAGCTATTTCCACTCAGCGCTACAACACGCACTGCAGCAGTAATGAATGAGTAGGAAAGTGTATCTATAGGCTTGCGTTGTTGTTATTATTAGCGGCTTGAGTCTTTTTTTAATATCGATGAATACATCACTTTCTCTGTTCGTAGGAGTAACAACATGAATTTGTGCATGAAGCAGAAATAATGCTGTGCGATTCGAGTTTCGCCATCAGCTGGTAGACGGTGTCCTTTTTTGGTCAGTGTCCCTTATTGGTCAGTGTCAGTGGAGGAAAGGGAGAGCAGAGGGCTCTTGAGGCTGACCCTCAGTCTGCTGCTCTCTCCCTCTGCTGAGACTGACCATCAGATGCAGGCACCATCAGCCCAGTAAAATGTAAATAAAAAGCAATTTATTTAAATGTATGCTCACTCAGCTGTCCGTCACAAGTAATACAACAACGGATCTATTACCGGTGTGATATATAGCCTACCTCAAATTTTTAATATAATTTTAAGAAATGGCCTGAACAACAATGCATTGGCAGGGCAATTTAAGCAAAGCCAATATGTGGTGATAATGGATTGGGCCTATAGCTTGAATAAACAGGTTAATGTCAAGCTCTGCATGTTTTTTCCAAAAATCTCATGGATTGTAGCCCTGCATTGAACACCACACATTGGCTGCTACTGTAGACTGAATGATAGAACAGCTATTTCCATGTTAAAATGTTATGGAATGCCTTTTCTCCATAGTTTTTGATAGTAGGCCACACTGGTAGGCCTACATTATGATCAAATAGCCACAGTAGCCTGCATGCCCACAGTAACTTAAAGCAGGGTACAGCCTCAGTGTTCACAGTAAACACGCGCTGAAAGAATTTTCACAACGTTCAAGTTTGCGCTCAGCAGACCTGACATTTGCTCAGTGCCTAATTTTTTTTGAGGGAACATTGCCTGCAACATCCAGTGTGTCAATTCTTGTCTTGTCCTATAAAAACTAAAGGTTGCCAGCTTTGAATGGGATCAGATTTAAACAGAAAAATCTATATTCTTTTCATATCGGCGCTTTCCACATACATACATGTCTATTTCGTAACCATTTGGAAAATGCTTAAACAAAGGATCTTACTGAAGTCCATCACTACCCCTCCCTGCTCAGAATAACTGACACAATGAATCGGCACTCTTGACTTATCAGCTAGGACCAGGGAGATGGGGGTGTAGGAAGTTAAGAGGCATAGTTGTTGAGTATCTCTAGGGCTAGGTTATATGTCTTGCCACTGCTCCCCACATAGACACAGCAGGCTTTCACAGCTCTACAGACGACACAAAGTGCTGCTCTGCGTGTAGAAGCTAAGGTTTACTGAGAACGATGGAGGGACCTTATAAGTACATCAGGGTAAGAGGAAAGCAATTCAAGCAGAGTTTATATTTATTTTATTATATGGAGCAGTTATATGTGGAGTTGGGACAATATGAAGGGAATAACTGCCATGAACTGCAACTACATGTAGAAGTTTAAAAACTCCATTATTGGAAAAATGGCTGTTGTAATGTATTGCTTTCATGTGTTTTTCCAACAGGATGGGAATGGGAAAGTTAGCCGGGTCATAAGGATTGGAACCAGAAAGAGCCAGGTAAGATACCTTTGGTGGTTTAGTGGAACCAAATTTCATTTTATTTTAGATTTCAGGTAATGTAATTTTTCACTTTCATTTTTTTTCCAGTGTCAGTAAAACAACTGTAGAGTTTAACTTTTGAATGGCGAAACAGCTTTTGAATGGGGGGCACAGAGCGTGGCAACTCCTTATCAGATAAGGTTCCCCTCTCTGTTCCCTCAGATACAGCAGTCAAGGACGTCTACACCTCCTGTAACAGAGATAGTCCATTCACTGCTCCAAGAATGTCTAGCCTTTTACTACAGCTTCCCACTGATTTGATAACGCACGGCTGAACATTTGCTTCCTGAATAGCCTATGATATTCAGTATTATCCAAGAAGTGAACTAGCTAGAAACCAACCATCCAAAATGCACACACACACAAGTTATGTCATCCAAATTGAATTGATTTCTGTTAATTTGTTGACCTCAGCTGGCTCGTATTCAGACGGACAGCGTTGCAGAAAAGCTGAAGGGACTGTACCCCGATGTCCACTTAGAAATAGGTGAGTCCAGGTGTACGGCAATACACTCTTAGAAAAAAAGGTGCTATCTAGAACCTAAAAGAGTTCTTCGGCTGTCCCCATAGGAGAACCCTTTGAAGAACCCTTTTGGGTTCCATGTACAGAGGATTCTACTTGGAACCCAAAAGAGTTCTACTTGGAACCCAAAAGGGTTCTACCTGGAACCAAATAGGGTTCTCCTATGTCAACAGATGAAAAACAACAACTTTGGAGAAAATAAATGTGTGTATGAAAAAAAGGTTTTATACTGTATATACAGGTAACTGCCAAAATAATGGAAAGACTTGAGTAAATGAAGGACACAAATTATATTGAAAGCAGGTTCTTCCACACAGATGTGTTTCCTGAGTTAATTAAGCAATTAACATCCCATCATCCTTAGGGTCATGTATAAAAATGCTGGGCAGGTAATTATTTAGGCAATTATTTGGGCTACCATGGCTATGCCGCCATAGGATGACAATGCCCCCATACACAGGGCATGAGTGGTCACTGAATGGTTTGATGAGCATGAAAACAATGTAAACCATATGCCGTAGCTGTCTCAGTCACCAGATTTCATCCAAATCTAAGAGTTATGGAAGATTCTGGAGCGGCACTTGAGACAGCGTTTTCCATCAGCATTAACAAAACACCAAATGGTGGAATTTCTTGTGGAAGAATGGTGTTGCATCCCTCCAATAGAGTTCCAGACACTTGTAGAATATATGCCAAGGTGCATTGAAGGTGTTCTGGCTCGTGCTGGCCCAATGCTCTATAAAGACACTTTATGTTGGTGTTTCCTTTATTTTGGCAGTTACCTACAGTGAGGGAAAAAAGTATTTGATCCCTGCTGATTTTGTACGTTTGCCCACTGACAAAGAAATGATCAGTCTATAATTTTAATGGTAGGTTTATTTGAACAGTGAGAGACAGAATAACAACAAAAGAATCCAGAAAAATGCATGTAAAAAATGATATAAATTGATTTGCATTTTAATGAGGGAAATAAGTATTTGACCCCCTCTCGATCAGAAAGATTTCTGGTTCCCATGTGTCTTTTGTTGTTATTCTGTCTCTCACTGTTCAAATAAACCTACCATTAAAATGATAGACTGATCATGTCTTTGTCAGTGGGCAAACGTACAAAATCAGCAGGGGATCAAATACTTTTTTCCCTCACTGTATATGTTCTGTTATTGATAGTGCAGTAATCTTTGACTATGGAGATGCATCACCAATAAGTTATGTACAATACAGTAATTAAACGACTATATCACTTTGAATATGTCCTTCTCTTTCTGTGTCAGTTGGCATGACAACTACAGGGGACAAAATCCTTGACACAGCGTTATCAAAGGTAAATCTGTTTATAAACTAAAGTGTGCCTCATCAGAACTAAATTGTTTCCCAAATTGTTCATTTGACTTGACTCAGTAGTGTGCGAAAACCACTGGCACCTCTATTGTTATTCAAGATAATTTATTTTACACTGTGTACATATAAACTTATGGTCTGAACTGGAAATGTTATGGGGTTAACAGTTAGTAACCTATATGCTTTCTAAATGCAGATTGGAGAGAAGAGCCTTTTCACCAAGGAGCTGGAGACCGCTCTGGAGAGGAACGAGTAAGTCTAATTTTGTCTTCTGGAACTGGCATTTCAGTTGGATCCACACAACCAACAACTCATTTTCAACGTTAAAGAAAAACTATAGAAAATGTTCAAAATTAATAACAAAAATGGTTGATGTATTGATTGCGTATGTCTTCACACCCCAGAGTTAATACTTGCTGGAAGCACCTTTGGTTGCCATTACAGCTGTGAATAATTTTGAATAAGATTCTACCAACTTTGCACAACTCTTAGGGCAACATACATTCATTGTTTTTGTCAAAATGTCTCAAGCTCAGTAAGTTTGGGTGGGATCATTGATGGACAGCAATATTCAAACCTTGTCTCTGATTTTCAAGCAAAGTCAGGACTGAGGCTCGACCACTCATGAACAATCGACACCTCTTGAAAAGCAATTCACTAGGCACTGTACATTCAAACTGTAGGCTACATTACTATTAGGAAAGCTACTACTGTCGAGGTACTTTCTTTATTACAATGTAATGGCATACATTTTGAGTAGCTTCAAAATGTCATTAATGTCTTCAAGACTTTGTTTTTTAGTTTTTTTTTACTCTTCACTCTGAAGTGTAGCAAAATAAATGACTCTGTTGTGATGTGTCTCCTATAGGGTAGATTTGGTGGTCCACTCTTTGAAAGACTTGCCCACGACTCTACCTCCTGGCTTTACCATAGGAGCTGTGCTAAAGTAAGTCGACACAATAGTGCCTCTGTAAGGATCCACAGAGAAATCAAACACACTGTCCTAATTCATCTGGGCCTCTTTTGTTGGTGTTCAAACCTTTGAACATACTGATTTACATTTACATTAACATTTTAGTCATTTAGCAGACGCTCTTATCCAGAGCGACTTACAGTTAGATTTGATGTGAAACACTATCAGTTTTACTCACATATTGTAAAATATTTAAATATATTTTTTTCTAAGTTTTTACAGGTTCCTACACATAGATGTCATTGAAAATATAGATTTGAAATCATGATCTAGCTAGCCTAGCTATGTGTATATACATGTATTTTGAATATTCCAAGCGCACTAGTGTATAACTTTCTGAAAATCTATTATTGTAGGATTTCTTCACCACTACTGTGGAATGAAGTAGCCTCAGATATTTTCATGGTAAATCGTTTTTTTCTTCCTGTTCTTTTAAGGCGGGAGAATCCCCATGACGCAGTGGTCTTGCATCCCAAAAACAAGGGAAAATCCCTTGACACCCTGCCCGACAAGAGGTACAAAACACAGTTGAATTTTACTCATGATATTGTTTGATTATTTTCCAATCTGTTTTAAAGAAGGAGTGGCTTGACAGTGATCTTGATGTGGTTATTTCATAGTGTGATAGGCACAAGTTCCCTGCGACGGGCTGCTCAGCTAAAGAAACGATTCCCTCACCTGGAGTTTAAAGATATTGTATCCTTTCTCTCACTGCTACTTTCATTCACTGCCACTCACAGTATAGCAAAGGATCAAAACAGGATCTTCATTTCAAATCTGATGCACATCATATCAGTAATGAATACATCCTATAGAGAGTTGTGAGTTTGTTTCCTTAGTGTGTTTTCTTCCAGCGAGGAAACCTCAACACAAGGTTGAAGAAGCTGGATGAAAAGGACGACTTCTCTGCCATTATTCTGGCTGCAGCTGGACTCCGTCGCATGGGCTGGGATAGCCGAGTCAGCCAGGTAGCTACTTCCAACACTCCACATCAAAACACCTTGTCCATACCATAGAGATAAATCAAGATTCATCTTAATTCATCAAGATTCAATTGTATGTGGTTTTTAGACAATATCTAAGCCTATATATAGCCTATAGCTAGGGCACTGAGTTTTTCCAAGTGTTCACATGGTCATGGAAAACCTCCTGGCCCTACATAATGTATCCACCTACCTAGAATATTGGGCAGTTATCTTTAATTTCTGTCTTTGCATTTGCAGATCCTGGGCCCTGAGGACTGTATGTACGCTGTTGGACAGGTGGGTAGATTTACTTTATGAAGGAGAAATGGGCAACTTTAACTCTAATACCTGTGGTCCTTAATCCATTGTGTAATAACAAAAAAACGCTAAATTGTTGTTAAAACTGAATATTTTACCCTGAAAGGGTATATCAGAGTTACTAACCCATTGTCATTAGGCCTTTGGCCTAGACTCCTTTTGGCACTGTATATGTGAGGATTATAATTTTCAGCGTGGTCTTAACTGACTGAGGGTCCATTGCTTGGCTGTGTTCCAGGGGGCTCTTGCCATCGAGGTGCGGACCAGAGACGAGGACATCCTGGAGATGGTGTCTGTTCTGCACGACCCCAACACGGTCCTGCGCTGTATTGCAGAGCGAGCCTTCCTCAGACGACTGGCAAGTCTTACTCTGTCTCCTAGATGTTTTATTATAGTGTGTCCAGTGTATCTGTGAATTGTTGGCTGCTAGTGTATTGTCGATGCTTCTTAATATAGATACTCATAAAGGACCAGTTTCCTAGACACAGATTAGCCTAGGCCTAGTCCTGGACTAAAAAGCATGCTCAATGGAGAATCACCATTGAAAGGGCTTTTTAGTCTAGGACGTGTTTAATCTGTGTCTGGGAAACCGGCCATTAAGGTACAATAGTAAGTGAAAGTAGAAGAATTTACAGTAAAAAAATAAACACTGAAACCTGCCCGAACAAGGAGGGGAGGCAGCCTCGGCGGAAGTCGTGACAGTACCCCACCGAGCCGCGCGACACATGAAACGAGGGGTTAATACGGTAATCAGGGGGAAGTAATAACCTATAAGTGACCTCGTTGACTATCCTCAGGACTTTGAACGGCCCCACAAACCGCGGGCTCAGCTTCCGGCAGGGCAGGCGGAGGGGCAGATTCCGGGTCGAGAGCCAGACCCGATCCCCCGGTACAAAGACGGGGGACTCACTGCGGTGGCGGTCAGCGTTGGCCTTCTGACCACGCACAGCGCGTTGGAGGTAAACGTGGGCAGCATCCCACATCTCCTCCGCGTGCCGAAACCAGTCATCCACCGCAGGAGCCTCAGTCTGGCTCTGGTGCCACGGTGCCAGAACCGGTTGGTAACCTAGAATACACTGGAAAGGTGTTAGGTTAGTGGAGGAGTGTGGAGAGAGTTCTGGGCATATTCTGCCCATGGCAAGAACACCGACCACTCCCCCGGCCGGTCCTGGCAGTAGGACCGCAGGAGGAACCTACCCACGTCCTGATTTACCCGTTCTACCTGCCCATTACTCTCGGGGTGGAACCCAGATGTCAGGCAGACCGAGACCCCCAGACGTTCCATGAACGCCTTCCAGACCTTGGACGTGAACTGGGGACCTCGGTCAGACACTATATCCACTGGTACCCCGTAGTGCCGGAAGACGTGTGTAAACAGGGCCTCCGCAGTTTGCAGAGCCGTGGGGAGACCGGGCAGAGGAAGGAGGCGGCAGGGTTTAGAAACACGGTCCACAACGACCAGGATGGTAGTGTTATCTTGGGAGAGGGGAAGATCAGTTAGAAAATCAACACTTAGGTGAGACCATGGTCGTTGTGGAACTGGTAAAGGTTGTAACTTACCAGCTGGGAGGTGCCTAGGTGCCTTACTCTGGGTGCACACTGTGCAGGTGGAGACATACACCCTCACGTCCTTAGCCAAGGTAGGCCACCAGTATTTTCCGGTCAGGCAGCGCACTGTACGGCCGATACCTGGGTGACCAGAGGAGGGTGACGTGTGTGCCCAGTAGATCAGACGATCACGGATAAGAGCAGGCACGTACTGTAGCCCATCTGGACACTGTGGTGGAAAGGGATCCGTGCGTAATCCCTGCTCTATATCGGCGTCCTTCGCCCATACTACCGGCGCCACAATGCAGGAGGCCGGCAGTATGGGAGTGTTGTCTCTGGGCCTCTCCTCTGTGTCATACAGCCGGGACAGCGCGTCTGCCTTGACGTTCTTCGTACCCAGGATGTATGATAGAGTGAAATCAAACCGGGTCAAGAATATGGCCCACCTGGCCTGGCGAGGATTCAGCCTCCTCGCTGCCCGGATGTACTCCAGGTTACGGTGGTTCGTCCAGACGAGGAAAGGGTGTTTTGCCCCCTCGAACCAATGCCTCCACACGGTCAAGGCTCGGACAACAGCCAACAGCTCCCGATCACCAACGCCGTAGTTCTGCTCCGCCGGGCTGAGCTTCTTCGAAAAGAACGCACAGGGGCGGAGCTTGGGTGGCGTATCCGAGCGTTGAGACAGGACAGCTCCTATCCCAACCTCGGACGCATCCACCTCCACTACGAACGGTAGTGATGAATCGGGGTGGGCCAGTACTGGGGCTGAGGTGAACAGACCCCGCAGTTTGCTGAAGGCCAGGTCAGCCTCAGCAGAGCAGCGGAGCCGGGACGGCCCACCCTTCAACAGAGAGGTAATGGGAGCTGCGACCTTGCCAAAGCCCCGGATAAACCTCCGATAATAGTTGGCAAAGCCAAGGAAGCGCTGCACCTCCTTAACCGTGGTTGGAGTCGGCCAATTACGCATGGCTGAAATGCGATCTCCCTCCATCTCCACACCTGAGGTTGAAATGCGGTATCCAAGGAAGGAGACTGACTGCTGGAAAAAAAATACACTTCTCTGCCTTAGCATAAAGGTCATTTTCCAACAGTCGGGCCAGCACCTTGCGAACCAGGGACACATGCTCGGCGCGCGTAGTGGAATACACCAGGATGTCATCAATGTAGACCACTACACCGCGACCAAGCATGTCCCGAAACACCTCGTTCACAAAGGACTGGAAAACTGAGGGAGCATTCATCAAACCATAGGGCATCACCAGGTATTCATAATGCCCTGTGGTTGTGCTGAATGCTGTCTTCCACTCATCTCCCTCTCGGATACGCACCAGGTTGTAGGCACTCCTGAGATCTAATTTGGTGAAGAAGCGCGCCCCATGCATTGATTCAATCACTGAAGGAAGGAGGGGGAGAGGATAACTAAATCTTATCGTCTCCCTGTTCAGTGGTCGATAATCAATGCATGGGCGCAGACCTCCGTCCTTCTTTTTCACAAAGAAGAAACTCAAGGAGGTGGGTGAAGTGGAGGAACGTATATACGCCTGGCGCAGGGACTCGGTGACATATGTTTCCATAGCCACCGTTTCAGCCTGTGACAGGGGGTATACAGTGGGGGAAAAAAGTATTTAGTCAGCCACCAATTGTGCAAGTTCTCCCACTTAAAAAGATGAGAGAGGCCTGTAATTTTCATCATAGGTACACGTCAACTATGACAGACAAATTGAGAAAAAATAATCCTGAAAATCACATTGTAGGATTTTTTATGAATTTATTTGCAAATTATGGTGGAAAATAAGTATTTGGTCACCTACAAACAAGCAAGATTTCTGGCTCTCACAGACCTGTAACTTCTTCTGTCCTCCACTCGTTACCTGTATTAATGGCACCTGTTTGAACTTGTTATCAGTATAAAAGACACCTGTCCACAACCTCAAACAGTCACACTCCAAACTCCACTATGGCCAAGACCAAAGAGCTGTCAAAGGACACCAGAAACAAAATTGTAGACCTGCACCAGGCTGGGAAGACTGAATCTGCAATAGGTAAGCAGCTTGGTTTGAAGAAATCAACTGTGGGAGCAATTATTAGGAAATGGAAGACATACAAGACCACTGATAATCTCCCTCAATCTGGGGCTCCACGCAAGATCTCACCCCGTGGGGTCAAAATGATCACAAGAACGGTGAGCAAAAATCCCAGAACCACACGGGGGGACCTAGTGAATGACCTGCAGAGAGCTGGGACCAAAGTAACAAAGCCTACCATCAGTAACACACTATGCCGCCAGGGACTCAAATCCTGCAGTGCCAGACGTGTCCCCCTGCTTAAGCCAGTACATGTCCAGGCCCGTCTGAAGTTTGCTAGAGTGCATTTGGATGATCCAGAAGAGGATTGGGAGAATGTCATATGGTCAGATGAAAACAAAATAGAACTTTTTGGTAAAAACTCAACTCGTCGTGTTTGGAGGACAAAGAATGCTGAGTTGCATCCAAAGAACACCATACCTACTGTGAAGCATGGGGGTGGAAACATCATGCTTTGGGGCTGTTTTTCTGCAAAGGGACCAGGACGACTGATCCGTGTAAAGGAAAGAATGAATGGGGCCATGTATCGTGAGATTTTGAGTGAAAACCTCCTTCCATCAGCAAGGGCATTGAAGATGAAACGTGGCTGGGTCTTTCAGCATGACAATGATCCCAAACACACCGCCCGGGCAACGAAGGAGTGGCTTCGTAAGAAGCATTTCAAGGTCCTGGAGTGGCCTAGCCAGTCTCCAGATCTCAACCCCATAGAAAATCTTTGGAGGGAGTTGAAAGTCTGTGTTGCCCAGCGACAGCCCCAAAACATCACTGCTCTAGAGGAGATCTGCATGGAGGAATGGGCCAAAATACCAGCAACAGTGTGTGAAAACCTTGTGAAGACTTACAGAAAACGTTTGACCTGTGTCATTGCCAACAAAGGGTATATAACAAAGTATTGAGAAACTTTTGTTATTGACCAAATACTTATTTTCCACCATAATTTGCAAATAAATTCATTAAAAATCCTACAATGGGATTTTCTGGATTTCTTTTCCTCATTTTGTCTGTCATAGTTGACGTGTACCTATGATGAAAATTACAGGCCTCTCTCATCTTTTTAAGTGGGAGAACTTGCACAATTGGTGGCTGACTAAATACTTATTTTCCCCACTGTATATGACTCCTGGGAGGTACAGCGTCTACCCAGAGGTTTATCGCGCAACAGCCCGCCCGATGAGGTGGTAATTTAGTAGCCTGCGTTTTAGAGAACGCTTGCACCAGATCTAGGTATTCAGGGGGAATGCACACGGTGGAGGTACTGTCTGGACTTTCCACCGTGGTTGCACCAACGGAAACACCAAGACACCTACCCTGACACTCTCACGACCACCCTGTGAGAACCATCTGCATGAGAAGATGGGGTTGTGGAGTGCTAGCCAAGGGATACCTAATACCACACCGTGTCGGCCCACTCCAGGGCTTTCCCACAGAGGCAGGAAACGAGGACGGACACCTTCTCCCGCTCCGATGGTGCCGGCCTGATGCTGGCAAAGTAAAGCTCCAATTGGAGGAGGAATCCCTGGCACAGCGCCGCTGTCCACTCAAACGCCCGTGGTCAGGATATCTGGATCCCTGCTGGGGTGTAGGTGGCTGGATCCGGTTGGCCAGCTGGTCTTGACAGATCGGGTCCGCTCCTCTCCAGGCATTGGACGACCTGAAGAACCTGATCCATCGCTTCCCCCAAGCTGGCCAGCGTCGTGAAGTGCTCCTGGACCCGTGCCACGACTCCAGGCATGCACTCTTCTCCTGCTGACTCCATAGCGGGTGGGTGATTCTGTGATGCGTGTGATAGGAGTCAGGCACAGGAGAGTAATACGCATCCAAAGAGTTTATTCCGTCGATAAACAGTTGAGCAAGCATGCGACAACAAAACTCAGGCACAGGGGAAATATCTACCCTGGCAACAACAAGGTAAGGGTAGCTCAACCGAGCTACACACAGCTCACTACAAACAATCACCCACACAGACAAGGAAGCAGAGGGAACACTTATACAATAACTCAATTGGGGATAAGAACCAGGTGTGTGTGATTAATTAGACAAGACAAGTGGAGTGATGATAAATGGATCGGCAGCAGCTAGTAAGCCGGTGACGACGAAACCTGCCCGAACAAGGAGGGGAGGCAGCCTCGGCGGAAGTCGTGACATATTCTTTCAATTTTTTATAATGGATTTAATGGTGCTCCGTGGGATGTTCAAAGTTTCAGATATTTTTTTATAACCCAACCCTGATCTGTACTTCTCCACAACTTTGTCCCTGACCTGTTTGGAGAGCTCCTTGGTCTTCATGGTGCCGCTTGCTTGGTGGTGCTGCAGAACAGGTGTATATATATACTGAGATCATGTGACACTTAGATTGCACACAGGTGGACTTCATTTAACTAATTATGTGACTTCTGAAGGTAATTGGTTGCACCAGATCTTATTTAGGGGCTTCATAGCAAAGGGGGTGAATACATATGCACGCACCACTTTTCCGTTATTTATGTTTTAGAATTTTTTGAAACAAGTTATTTTTTAAATTTCACTTCACCAATTTGGACTATTTTGTGTATGTCCATTACATTTACATTTTACATTTTTAGTCATTTAGCAGACGCTCTTATCCAGAGCGACTTACAGTTAGTGAATACATATATTTTTATACTGCCCCCCCGTGGGAATCGAACCCACAACCCTGGCGTTGCAAACGCCATGCTCTATCAACTGAGCTACATCCCTGCCGGCCATTCCCTCCCCTACCCTGGACGACACTGGGCCAATTGTGCGCCGCCCATGAGTCTCCCGGTCGCGGCCGGCTGCGACCGAGCCTGGATTCGAACCAGGATCTCTAGTGGCACAGTTAGCACTGTGATGCAGTGCCTTAGACCACTGCGCCACTCAGGAGACTCAATTACATGAATTCCAAATAGAAATCCATTTAAATTACAGGTTGTAATGCAACAAAATAGGAAAAACGCCAAGGGGGATGAATACTTTTGCAAGGCACTGTAACTATCTGCATTGACCCTTTTTGCACCAACTTTTTTTGCCCCATCACATACGCTGCTGCTACTGTTTATTATCTGTCATGTTGACTAATCACTTTATTCCTAGTTATTCAGTATGTACATATCTACCTCAATTACTTCGTACCCCTGCACATCGACTCGGTACTGGTACCCTGTGTATATAGCCAAGTTATCATTACTCATTGTGTATTTATTATTACTTTTATTATTACGTATTATTACTTTTCTATTATTTCTCTATTTTATTTCTCTCTGCATTGTTGGGAAGGGCCCATAATTAAGCATTTCACTGTTAGTCTTCACCTGTTGTTTACATTTTATTTGATTAATTTATAATTCAGAAAATGGATACTGCAAATGTCTATTTTATTGTATGTCCCATTATATTTGACTGTCTACACTCCAGTGTAATCACTCTCGCTTGTTGTAGGAGGGGGGTTGCAGTGTACCAGTTGCTGTCCACACTGAAGTCAAGGACTCTCAGGTAAGGGCTTATGACATTTGCTAAGGTGTGCGTTATTGCGTATCCATGGTTACGTGCGTGCATGCTTTTGTAACTGTAGTGTTCTATTAACCCCAGCTCTACCTGACGGGTGCAGTGTACAGCCTGGATGGTTCAGACAGTCTCAAGGAGACCATGCAGACCAGCATTGCTTCAGACAATAAGGTCAGACTACTGATTTCTCACTCCCAGTCAGAACACAAGTGAACTCTTCTCATTAAACATATCAGCTCACCAAGGGGCTCCCTTCTCAGGGCATATTTATTTGGTTTATTTAAGCTGTCTTTCCTCTGTGGTAGGTGGAAGAGCAAGTTGATGAGCGGGTCCAGCGTGTTGGCGTCACAGCGAACAACATGCCAGGCCCGGCCCAGGATGCTTCTGAGAAGCTAGGTCTAGACCTGGCCAATCTACTGCTGAGTAAAGGGGCTAAGGAGATCCTTACCGTGGCCAGGCAGCTCAACGATGCGCGATAAACTCACTCTGTGCCCCCAGCTGGGTCTGGAGGTGTAACCTGCACTCACCGGTAGTCCACACTGATATTAAAGCTCTAACATGACTGACTGAGGATTCATGATATAGAATAGCACTGTCAGCACCACCAGACGTGGGTTCGAATAGTATTCGTTTTCGTTCAAAGTTTGATTGAGCCTGCTTGGAGTGCCAGAACATTAACGTACAGGTAACTGCCAAAATAATGGAAACACTTGAGTAAATGAGGAATACAAAGTATATTAAGATGGGTGCTTCCACAGAGGTTTGGTTCCTGAGTTAAATAAGCAATTAGGATCCCATCATGCTTAGGTTCATGTATAAAAATGCTGGGCAGGCCATAGGATCACAATTCCCTCATCCACAGGGCACACATTTTCACTGAATGGTTTGATGAGCCTGAAAACAATGTAAGCCATATGCCATGACTATCTCAGTCACCAGATCTCAATCCAATTGAACACTTCTGGGAGATTCTGAAGCGATGCCTGAGACAGTGTTTTCCACCACCATCAACAAAATACAAAATTATGGAATTTCATGTGGAAGAATGGTGTCGCATCCTGCTAATAGAGGTGCATTGAAGCTGTTCTGGCTCATGGTGGCCCAATGCTGTATTGAGACACTATGTTTTTGTGTTTCCTTCATTTTGACAGTTACCTGTACACATATTGAGGGACTCCATTTCTCAGTGAATGGGAGTTTAACTCTTGTTGGGATCATGCTACCTCTTTCATCAACAGAGCTCTGATAATCTTGTTTGATGAATGACGTGTGTGACATATTAGTGTTGTCTGTTAAACAGATCCAGAACATGCAAGCTACAGTGACAAACTCTAGCTTATGAGTACTACCAAGCCCAAGCCCACCTGTCTATAACACCAGAGCATGTATATATTTTTTCTATTTCCCATGATCAATGGAATACTTTAAGACAATAAGGAAAGCACTGCATATACACTGCAGGTGATAAACGGACGATAAACACTGGATGCAGTACAAAAAATAAGCTCAATGTTGGATACCTGTGGCATTTTCCTTTCAATGTGTTCACATAAGTTTCATGTGTTTTGATCCTGAGAGGATTTTTATTGCTTGCTTGTTTTGCTATACCAATTTTAAGAATATAAAGCAGGGTGAAATAACACCGAACAAATGTCATGTGCATACTTCAAAACAGGGCCTGTATTCATAAAGCGTCTTGAGTAGGAGAGCTGATCAGGTACCCCCCGGCCATGTAATCTGATTCATTATGGCAAAACTGATCCTAGATCAGCACTCTTATTCTGAAAAGCTTTATGAATACAGGCACAGGTTTGGTATGTTCACTGTGTGTACTTGATCCAGCCTACTACTCAATGACTTCAGAATTGAACAAGTATTCCATAACCATCCCAGTAGATATGGCTCCTATGGTAACGATATGTGTGTATTATGAAGCAAATGGAGAAATTAATTGAATGTAATGTCATTGTAAGCTACCTTTTTAGATATTTTGTGGCATTTGTTAACAAACCTTATGCTGTCAGATACCATAGTTTTGTGCCTTACTTTAGCTGTTTTGTCTATGTGGCTGCTGTGTGTACAGCTTTGCTTACAACCTAATGCAACCTTATTACCTTGACCTACAAATATGCCTTTTCCCTTGTACCCGTGGAGCCTGCACAGGTTTTCCTGAGTGTCAACCCATTGTGACCCCTCTAACTTATATTTAGCCGAATGCATTACGTAACATATGTTGCATTATGTTATATTACGTGGCGTTATGTTGTTTGACTATCGATACTTGAAAGGTAGAGAGTGGTTGTGCCATATTTCTGTTTTGCAGCTTTCTGCTCTCCACTGTAGTGCTCAGACATTTTAAGAAGATGCTGGTCAAAAGATACTTGCTATACCATCAATTCATTCATTATTGCAGCAATCATCATGACATGACAGAATGTGGAAATGTAATGCAATCTGAAAGCGTCATGCTTTGCTTTGTCACGTTCATTAATTCTGTGTCATAAAAAGGAGCCAGCCTCAAATAAAGCCACTTGTTACTTTTTAGCTTGTACATTGAAACTATTTGATTTGATTCGTAGTTTATTATTCAGCCAATGTTTTGTAGAGCAGCGGAGTTTTCAGAGGAGTGTTTTCATTTTCTTCATCCTCTTCATTCTTCTTGGTCTGCGAGTGCTTCATCCATTTTGGGACTTCTGATTTAATTACATGTACCCATTGATTCTTGAAGAATATAACTTATAAATGCCTCATGAGCTTAGTTCAACTGTCGTACCCCATCAGAACCCAAAATAGAAGCTTGTTTCACTCCAATGTTTGTAAACAAAGTCAATGTAAACATGGCTCAAAATATGGTTAAAACTATAATTGTAATATTATGGATGGTCAGTCCTTGCATCCATAGCTCTGTCTATGAATATGAGAGCTTTTTACCGAAACGGGTGGGGAAAACACATTGTTATTGTTTCAACAGCTTTAAAGGGAAAGTTCAATGTTTTACAAATTAATGTTAGATGGTTGGTTACTCACCCTGAAAGCGATCTGGCCTAGGAGAAACTAATCCATGTTTCGGTTTTATTTAATTAGCCACTACAAGCTTCAGCTAACTTTGGCCACGAAGCTGAAAATCAACAGAAGTGGTGGGGGCTTCCACAGCAGGTTCATCCCATCTGTCCATCAGACAATGGAAATGCTTGTTCACATTGGCAGTTTGAAGTGACTAAATCATATTTTCTTGCATATCCGATTCAAATCTGTTATTTTTCCTGCAGTCTGAACAGCCAAAAAACACATGGAATCAGATATTTCAAGCCACATTTCAAACTACCTTCGTAGGCATTGTTGTCACCTTAGCTTGCTACATAACTTCTGAGTGATAGGAAGCACGAGCACCACCACCAATCAGCCTACACCACTGCGCACACACCCGTAGGTGCTATGACAACTAGTGTAGCCATGTCAGCAAATGACTGCTGTCTGAACACACACACATCCGATTTGGTCACTTGTAACTTGCTATTTGGACAGTCAGTAGTCTAAAACAGATATGAAAAACAAAACTGATTTGAGCATTAAGGCCTGCAGTGTGAACAAGGCTTAATTGTCTACTGACTTTAAGTTACTCCCTGAAGTGTCCACATGGCTCCTTGTTGGATCCCTTTGTAGGAGTCTTCGGTCCTATAGGCTGTCGGTCATATGACATGTAGTTCCTCACCATCAGCTTGATGGGATATGTAGATCAGCTATTTGAAGCAATATAGTTAGTTTACAAAGCATACAGTGCCTTGCAAAAGTATTCATCCCCCTTGGTGTTTTTCCTATTTTGTTGCATTACAAAAAATAAATAAATAACGGAAAAGTGGTGCGTGCATATTATTCACCCCCTTTGCTATGAAGCCCCTAAATAAGATCTGGTGCAACCAATTACCTTCAGAAGTCACATAATTAGTTAAATAAAGTCCACCTGTGTGCAATCTAAGTGTCAGATGATCTGTCACATGATCTCAGTATATATACACCTGTTCAGAAAGGCCCCAGAGTCTGCAACACCCCTAAGCAAGGGGCACCACCAAGCAAGTGGCACCATAAAGACCAAGGAGCTCTCTAAACAGGTTGTGGAGAAGTACAGATCAGGGTTGGGTTATAAAAAAATATCAGAAACTTTGAAACATCCCACGGAGCACCATTAAATCCATTATTAAAAAATAGAAAGAATATGGCACCACAACAAACCTGCCAAGAGAGGGCCGCCCACCAAAACTCACGGACCAGACAAGGAGGGCATTAATCAGAGAGGCAACAAAGAGACCAAAGATAACCCTGAAGGAGCTGCAAAGCTCCACAGCGGAGATTGGAGTGTCTGTCCATAGGACCACTTTTAAGCCGTACACTCCACAGAGCTTGGCTTTACAGAAGAGTGGCCAGAAAAAAGCCATTGCTTAAAGAAAAAAATAAGCAAACCCGTTTGGTGTTCGCCAAAAGGCATGTGGGAGACTCCCCAAACATATGTAAGAAGGTACTCTGGTCAGATGAGACTCAAATTGAACTTTATGGCCATCAAGGAAAACGCTATGTCTGGCGCAAACCCAACACCTCTCATCACCCCGAGAACACCATCCCCACAGTGAAGCATGGTGGTGGCAGCATCATGCTGTGGGGATGATCTGTGAACGGATGATCTACGCATGTGTGGTTCCCACCGTGAAGCATGGAGGATGAGGAGTTGGTGTGGGGTTGCTTTGCTGGTGACACTGTCTTTGATTTATTTAGAATTCAAGGCACACTTAACCAGCATGGCTACCACAGCATTCTGCAGCGATACACCATCCCATCTGGTTTGCGCTTAGTGGGACTATCATTTGTTTTTCAACAGGACAATGACCCAACACACCTCCAGGCTGTGTAAGGGCTATTTAACCAAGAAGGAGAGTGATGGAGTGCTGCATCAGATGACCTGGCCTCCACAATCCCCCGACCTCAACCCAATTGAGACGGTTTGGGATGAGTCGGACGGCAGAGTGAAGAAAAATCAGCCAAGAAGTGCTCAGCATATGTGGGAACTCCTTCAAGACTGTTGGAAAAGCATTCCAGTTGAAGCTGGTTGAGAGAATGCCAAGAGTGTGCAAAGCTGTCATACAAGGCCAAGGGTGGCTATTTGAAAAATCTCAAATACACTAAAATAACACATCCTAGATCTGAATGAATGAAATAATCTTATTAAATACTTTTTTCTTTACATAGTTGAATGTGCTGACAACAAAATCACACAAAAATTATCAATGGAAATCAAATGTATCAACCCATGGAGGTCTGGATTTCAAAATTCAAAATTAAAGTGGAAAACCACACTACAGGCTGATCCAACTTTGATGTAATGTCCTTAAAACAAGTCAAAATGAGGCTCAGTAGTGTGTGTGGCCTCCAAGTGCCTGTATGACCTCCCTACAATGCCTGGGCATGCTCCTGATGAGGTGGCGCATGGTCTCCTGAGGGATCTCCTCCCAGACTTGGACTAAAGCATCCGCCAACTCCTGGACAGTCTGTGGTGCAACGTGGCGTTGGTGGATGGAGCGAGACATGATGTCCCAGATGTGCTCAATTGGATTCAGGTCTGGGGAACGGGCGGGCCAGTCCATAGCATCAATGCCTTCCTCTTGCAGGAACTGCTGACACACTCCAGCCACATGAGGTCTAGCATTGTCTTGCATTAGGAGGAACCCAGGGCCAACCGCACCAGCATATGGTCTCACAAGGGGTCTGAGGATCTCATCTCGGTACCTAATGGCAGTCAGGCTATCTCTGGCGAGCACATGGAGGGCTGTGCGGCCCCCCAAAGAAATGCCACCCCACACCATGACTGACCCACCGCCAAACCGGTCATGCTGGAGGATGTTGCAGGCAGCAGAACGTTCTCCACGGCGTCTCCAGACTCTGTCACGTCTGTCACGTGCTCAGTGTGAACCTGCTTTCATCTGTGAAGAGCACAGGGTGCCAGTGGCGAATTTGCCAATCTTGGTGTTCTCTGGCAAATGCCAAACGTCCTGCATGGTGTTGGGCTGTAAGCACAACACCCACCTGTGGACGTCGGGCCCTCATACCACCCTCATGGAGTCTGTTTCTGACCGTTTGAGCAGACACATGCACATTTGTGGCCTGCTGGAGGTCATTTTGCAGGGCTCTGGCAGTGCTCCTCCTGCTCCTCCTTGCACAAAGGCGGAGGTAGCAGTCCTGCTGCTGGGTTGTTGCCCTCCTACGGCCTCCTCCACGTCTCCTGATGTACTGGCCTATCTCCTGGTAGCGCCTCCATGCTCTGGACACTACGCTGACAGACACAGCAAACCTTCTTGCCACAGCTCGCATTGATGTGCCATCCTGGTGAGCTGCACTACCTGAGCCACTTGTGTGGGTTGTAGACTCCGTAGAGTGAAAGCACCGCCAGCATTCAAAAGTGACCAAAACATCAGCCAGGAAGCATAGGAACTGAGAAGTGGTCTGTGGTCACCACCTGCAAAACCAGTCCTTTATTGGGGGTGTCTTGCTAATTGCCTAAAATGTCCACCTGTTGTCTATTCCATTTGCACAGCGTGTGAAATGTATTGTCATCATTCCTAGAACAGTTGACACGAAGTGTGAACTGGAGTTACATGTTTTTAATGTTCCCTATATTTTTTTGAGTGTATAAGATATATTTGATGAATACATGGTGCTACATTCAAATGGTTACAGATGCTTCACTATATCACAAAAGTTAAAAAAATAAGAAAAACCAAACTTTTGACTGGTACTGTATGTATATATTAAAATATATTAATACATGCTATTTAACAGATGCTTTTATCCAAAGAAACTTACAGTCATGTGTACATAAATGTTTCATGTGGGAGGCCCCACTAGGAATCGAACCCACAATCCATGGCAGTGCAATCACTGTGCTCTACCAACTGAGCAATCCAGGGCCACAAGTAGCCAGCCATATTGAAGCATCGTAATGACATTCAAAGGGGAGTTAATGTTATATTAGTGAATATATTGTAGCCTTCATTACATTGTAGACAAGATAAACTCTATTTGACCTGTAGACATTCCAACAGGGTGGGTTCACAGGAAATAACATGGGGAAATCAATATGATTGATAAGACTTGTGTGGTATATTGAAGCCCTTTTATGAACTCCCAAACGTAATATTTAGTCTGTGCAAGATCTTTCTTTATGTTTAGCCAAGGTCAGAGGAAAAGCATGTTAGGTTGTATGTTCATTGAACTATTGCTTTAACTACCAAGTGCATTTTGTAACGCAAACTTGGTTTATCACAATCATGCTATTAGTCCATTTATTTGAATAAGTTGATTATTCATATGAAAGGTTTATCAGAAATGGAACAGAATGATTTCCCCCACATGAGTCTGTACCCTATCCCCTGTTGTTCCTATTGCTTTTACTGTCAGGAACTGCCATACACAGTCAATTATTCATAGTTGATCATTTAACAATTGGGTAATAGCGCAGACTGTTCTTTTTCCAAATGAAAATATTTTGTTGTGGAACACCTTGTCTTTCTTAATAACTGGCCATTTGGTAACACTACATTTTGCATGGGTATACAGTATGTCCTGAATAATTATGGGGGGGAAAGAACAAACCATCAAAATGAAATGACCATATACCACATGCTGTATAAGTTATTTGTGTGTGTGTGTGCGTGTGTGCGTGCGCGTGTGTTTGTGCGTACTCGCACTTGTTTTCAGGACCCCAATGTCCTAACATTGCACCAGAATGTCCTTACAAAGTCGGGACTTTTTTCAGGTCCTGAATTTGTTCAAATGCTATTTTAATCTTAAGGGTTAGGTTTTGGGGTTAAGGGTAGGGTTAGGTTTAGGGTTTGGGGGTTAAGGTTAGGTTAAGGGTTAGGGGTTAGGGAAAATAGGATTTTTGATGGTCAAACATTTTTACCCCCCAAAAGTCCAGAAATTTCATGAAAACAAAGCTGCGTTTGTGTGTGTGTGTGTGTGTGTGTGTGTGTGTGTGTGTGTACAAGTATACATGTACAGTTATTAGCACATACTATTTATTTTCCCGAAAATCTACCAAGTTTCAATATGGGAAAAAACGTATTTATCCGAGAGTCCCGGGAAATACTGCAAAAATCGGAAGTGCCCATTTAAAGCGTTTAAACCCAAGATATGGTCACTATTTTTTAAATGTTTTATTACATTTTTTAGCCAATCTGGTGCTGCGCATGTTGTGTATTTTGTTGAATTGCATTATTGCGACATTGTAATTTCCTGTGTTTTGTCAATAAAACTTTTCAGAAATGTCCTGGCACAGTCCCAGGATACCGGTGTTAATCCCTAGCACATACCACTATTGCTGTAATTCTGTTTCCCAGGTAAATATAAAAAAGTGAACACACAAATTGTACTCCATAGCTACATGTACTTTACTAACCTATTACACAGTAATTACATACAGAATGTAATGTTACAATAGTTCTGGCATAGGCTGAGGGATGTCAACTGTAGCCCGGCATTCTTTGCTGTTCCAAATTTTCTTTTAAAACAACAATAACAGTATTATGTCAGGGTGAAACTCTTTTCTTTAAATTCTGAAAATGGGCTTAGAAAAAAAGGTGCTATCTAGAACCAAAAAGGGTTGTTCGCCTGTCCCCATTGGAAAACCCTTTGAAGAACCCTTTTGGTTCCAGGTAGAACCCTTTTAGTTCCATGTATAACCCTTTTGGGTTCCATGTAGAAACCTTTCCACAGAGGGTTCTACATGGAACCCAAAAGAGTTCTACCTGGAACCAAAAAGGGTTCCCCTATGGGAACAGTTGGAGAAACCTTTTGGAACCCTTTTTTCTAATAGTGTACTGCAAATGATTGGAATCCTTATTCCAATTTATGCTGGGCTACAGCCTCTCTATCAACTTTACGTTAGTAAGAATGACAAGGACTGCAGTGAGGACATTGCCATTGGTGTGTGTCTCTTTGTGTGTGTGTAGATCAGTGGAGGCTCCTCAGAGGAGGAAGGGGAGGACCATTTCATACAAATAAAAATAGTGAAACATTAAATAAGTTATCCTTTTTAGATAAAACTATACTAAATATATCCATTTGTCATCAAATAATTGATTTAAAACACAATGTTTTGCAATGAAGGTCTACAGTAGCCTCAACAGCACTCTGTAGGGTAGTACCATGGTGTAGCCGGAGGACAGCTAGCTTCTGTCCTCCTCTGGTTACACTGACAAAACCTAGGAGTCTGATGGTTCTCACCCCCTTCCATAGGCTTACACAGTAATTATGACAACTTCCGGAGGACGTCCTCCAACCTATCAGAGCTCTTGCAACATGAACTGGCATGTTGTCCACCCACTGAAATGATCAGAGAATGAATCTAGCACTGTAAGCATAAGCAACAGCTAGCTAGCGCTGCAATGCATAAAATGTGGTGAGTAGTTGACTTAAAGAGAAAGACGATAGTTGAACAGTTTTTCACAAATGAATTTATTCAAAAATTAAGGAGACGGAAGAGAGAAAGAGAGAGATCTATCTATATAGTAAATTGCTTTACAGCACTTTAAAAAATGAAACGGTATCAGTCAGGCGCTTCTGAATGTTCACCATTTCGTAAAATTCAGGATGATGCGGTCATTTGGTTCTGGGATGTAACAGCCAATACCTGTGAAAACATGGTCCAAATAGGTAATTAGTGTTTTACAGTAGGTGCACAATTTGTGTGACAAATAGTTGTTGTAAATAACACTTGCTTTTGCACTTAATTCTGGAGAGAGAGCGATATTCTAAATCATTACTCACCCACATCAGGTCTGATCACGGGTCCATTCTCCCCAGTCTGAACAAGGAGCTCCCAGTAAGTGTGCTCAGCACTGTCCCCGGCAACATCATTCACACTCTCCAGGAAAGGACCATAGTTGGGGTCCTCTGTGTAGGTGAACCTGGAAGAACAATGCTCACTGACTACTGACATAACATAAAATATGTGACACACCAGTTATCAGTTATGATACCCTTTATCCATTGCAACAGCAAGCATACCACCATTACTTTTTCACATTGGAAACAGGAAAATGCTGTACCACTCCATGTCATGCAATTATTGACACATTGAACTACAGAACATTGTCTGTAAATTGGCATAAAAACTATTTCTCATTGCATATATGAGCTATTCTAGAAACCAATCAGACAATAGAATCGAAATGTCTACTGACTTGAAGTCTGCATTGGTCTCCTGCAGTCTCCTCATGGCACCGAGGAGGATCCCTCTGAATACGATGTCAGCACTGTAGGTCTCATTGGGTGCATTGGAGATGCTGTTGACGATCGTCAACTCGATGAGGTTTGGTCCATAAGCCTCTGTATAAAATTGGAATTTTCAATGTCCACTATACTGTATAAATTATAAAGATAACATTACAAAGAGGTAAAGTAAGTCAATATATTCTACATTACTTTCAGTCAGGATCCCAGGAACCAGCAACAGCAGAGCTGCGGAGAGAAAAGATACTATGGTCATCATACTCAGTTGGAAGTGTTGGCCTACAGTACTGCATTCACTCACTGCTTTTTATACAGTATTCCTAGCCTTGTAGCCACTCCTTTATAGTCTGGTTACAGTCTGTTTAGCTATCATTCCACTCCTTGCCACTCATTGTCATGCTAAACATAGGAGTGGAATGTTAACAGACTGGTACCCAGGCTAACTCCTTTCGGAATTTATGGAACGGTGTACACAGAGGAATTTTTGGGGATGGGATTCTTCAAATAGCCAGCGTTTGCCTTGACGACAGCTTTGCACACTCTTGGCATTATCTCAACCAGCTTCAACTGGAATGCTTTTCCAACAGTCTTGAATGAGTTCCCACATATTCTGAGCACTTGTTGGCTGCTTTTCCTTCACTCTGCCGTCCGACTCATCCCAAACCATCTCAATTGGGTTGAGGTCGGGGGATTGTGGAGGCCAGGTCATCTGATGCAGCACTCCATCAATCTCCTTCTTGGTAAAATAGCCCTTACACAGCCTGGAGGTGGGTTGGGTCATTGTCCTGTTGAAAAACAAAAGATAGTCCCACTAAGCCCAAACCAGATGGGATGGCGTATCGCTGCAGAATGCTGTGGTAGCCATGCTGGTTAAGTGTGCCTTGAAATCTAAATAAATCACAGACAGTGTCACCAGCAAAGCACCCCCACACCATAACCCCTCCTCCTACATGCTTCACGGTGGGAAATACACATATGGAGATCATCTGTTCACCCACACCGCGTCTCACAAAGGCACAGCGGTTGGAACCAAAAATCTCCAATTTGGTCTCCAGACCAAAGAACAAATTTCCACCGGTCTAATGTCCATTGCTTGTGTTTCTTGTCCCAAGCAGGTCTCTTCTTCTTATTGGTGTCCTTTAGTAGTGGTAGTGGTTTTCAGCAATTCGACCATGAAGGCCTGATTCACACAGTCCCCTCTGAACAGTTGATGTTGAGATGTGTCTGTGACTCTGGGTCTTCCATTCCTGTGGCGGTCCTCATGAGAGCCAGTTTCATCATAGCGCTTGATGGTTTTTGCGACTGCACTTGAAGAAATTTTCAAAGTTCTTGACATTTTCCGTATTGGCTGTCCTTCATGTCTTAAAGTAATGATGGACTGTCGTTTCTCTTTGCTTATTTTAGCTGTTCTTGCCATAATATTTACATTTACATTTTAGTCATTTAGCAGACGCTCTTTTCCAGAGCGACTTATAGTTAGTGAGTGCATACATTTTCATACTGGCCCCCCGTGGGAAACGAACTCACAACCCGGGCGTTGCAAGCACCATGCTCTACCAACTGAGCTACAGGGGACACACAATAATATGGACTTGGTCTTTTACCAAATAGGGCTATATTCTGTATACCACCCCTACCCTTGTCACAACACAACTGATTGGCTCAAACGCATTAAGAAGGAAAGAAATTCCACAAATTAATTTTTAACAAGGCACACCTGTTAATTGAAATGCATTCCAGGTGACTACCTCATGAAGCTGGTTGAGAGAATGCCAAGAGTGTGCAAAGCTGTCATCAACGCAAACGGTGGCTATTTGAAGAATCTCAAATATAAAATATACTTTGATTTGTTTAACACTTTTTTGGTTACTACATGATTCCATATGTGTTATTTCATAGTTTTGATGTCTTCACTATTATTCTACAATGAATAGTAAAAATAAAGAAAAACTATTGAATGAGTTGGTGTGTCCAAACTTTTGACTGGTACTGTATATAAACTCAATACATTAAGTAAAGACTTGATTACCTACTCCATTCAAAGATAACCAACCTACACCACTAGACTAAACTTCACTTGTGTCATGCTTGTGGTATTAAGAGATAAACATGGTAATGCTTTCACTGATTGCACATAAAGGATACAGATTCCTTCATGATAGACTGCTTGCTTTGTTATCAATTTGATCTTGTGTTGTATGTGTCATCATGTGAACCCTGTTCATTGCTGCTTGCAGCTATAGTTGTGTTCTTAAATTATTTTTAGAATAAATTGTTCATCTCTGATAAATAGGGGAGCTTTTCGAGCTGCCCAGGGGCTGGGGGCGCAGCCCGCAGGTTAACGTTTTTCGTCATCAATATTGTTCTGTAGGCAGCTTTGCAGAGTTTAGCTAATGAATGATGGGTTAATATTCATTCAATTCTAAGTTAGGCTACACATCTTTAGCCTGTCTGTCTTCACTGTTCTTTTGCACAATTACGCACCTGGCCTCCCCGCTGCCTCTCTGCTATTCCTCTTTGGTCTTGTGCAGTTCCAGGAAAAGCTAAACTGTAATAGCTTGTTGGACACTTACAGTACATGACCAAAGGTATGTGGACATCTGCTCGTCGAACATCTCATTTCAAAATCATGGGCATTAATATGGAGTTGGTCCCCCCTTTGCTGCTATAACATCCACTCTTCTGGCAAGGCTTTCCACTAGATGTTGGAACATTGCTGCAGGACTTGCTTCCATTTAGCCACAAGAGCATTAGTGAGGTCGGGCACTGATGTTGGGCGATTAGGCCTGGCTCGCAGTCGGCGTTCCAATTCATCCTGTCATGCTGAAACAGGAAAGGGCCTTCCCCAAACTGTTGCCACAAAGTTGGAAGCACAGAATCGTCTAGAATGTCATTGTATGCTGTAGCGTTAAGATTTCCCTTCACTGGAACTAAGGGGCCTAGCCCGACTATTATTCCTCCTCCACCAAACTTTACAGTTGGCACTATGCATTAGGGCAGGTAGCGTTCTCCTGGCATTCGCCAAACCCAGATTCGTCAGTCGGACTGCCAGATGGTGAAGCGTGATTCATCACTACAGAGAACATGTTTCCACTGCTCCAGAGTCCAATGGCAGCGAGCTTTACACCACTCAAGCCGACGCTTGGCATTGCGCATGGTGTTCTTAGGCTTGTGTGTGGCTACTCGGCCATTGAAACCCATTTCATTAAGCTCCCGATGAACAGTTATTGTGCTGACGTTGCTTCCAGAGGCAGTTTGGAACTCGTAATGAGTGTTGCAACCGAGGACAGACGTTCTGTGAGCTTCTGTGGCCTACCACTTCGCGGCTGAGCCGTTGCTGCTCCTAGACGTTTCCACTTCACAATAACAACACTTACAGTTGACCGGGGCAGATCTAGTAGGGCAGTTATTTGATGAACTGACTTGTTGGAAAAGTGGCATCCTATAATTGTGCCACGTTGAAAGTTACTGAGCTCTTCAGTAAGGCCATTCTACTGCTTATGTTTGTCTATAGAGATTGCATGGTGTCAGGGGACTCTTATATGTTGAGTCAGGGTGTGTATATTTATTTGTGGTGTTTATTCAATGGGTGTTATTCTAGTATGTATATATCTATGTTGGCCGGTGTGGTTCCCAATCAGAGGCAGCTGTCGCTCGTTGTCTCTGATTGGGGTTCATACTTAGGCAGCCTATTGGCATTAGTGGGTTGTGGGATCGTGTTCCGTGTAAGGTATGTTTTGTGTTCTACCTTGGACTTCACGTTTCGTTTAGGTTGTTGTTTATTTGGTTTAATATACATGTACGTATATCACGCTGCGCCTTGGTCTGACCCATCAATGAACGAATGTGACACATGGCTTGATTTTATGAACCTGTCACCAACGGGTGTGGCTGAAATAGACGACACCACTAATTTGAAGGGGTGTCCACATACATTTCTATTAAATAGTGTATTTTGAGCATTTTCTTTGGTAATTGCATATTCGAGGAGAGATTCAAGCATAATATTGCTTGCTGAATGTAAAATAGGTCTACAGCATCCAAAATAACTGGTGGGGAGTTTGATATATAATTTTTTTTATTCACCTTTATTTAACCAGGTAAGCCAGTTGAGAACAAGTTCTCATTTACAACTGCGACCTGGCCAAGATAAAGCAGAGCAGTGCGATAAAAACTACAACACAGGGTTACATATGGAATAAACAAAACGTACAGTCAATAACACAAAATAAAATCTATATACAGTGTGTGCAAATGTAGTAAGTTATGGAGGTAAGGCAATAAATAGGCCATAGTGCAAAACAATTACAATTGAGTATTAACACTGGAGTGATAGATGTGCAGAAGATCATGTGCAAATAGAGATACTGGGGTGCAAATGAGCAAAATAAATAACAATGTAAATAACAATATGGGGATGAGGTAGTTGGGTGGGCTAATTACAGATGGGCTGTGTACAGGTGCAGTGATCGGTAAACTGCTCTGACAACTGATGCTTAAAGTTAGTGAGGGAGACAAGTGTCTCCAGCTTCAGAGATTTTTGCAGTTCGTTCCAGTCATTTGCAGCAGAGAACTGGAAGGAATGGCGGCCAAAGGAGGTGTTGGCTTTGGGGATGACCAGTGAGATATACCTGCTAGAACGCATACTACGGGTGGGTGTTGCTATGGTGACCAATGATCTAAGATAAGGCGGGGATTTGCCTAGAAGTGATTTATTAACATATTGCTGTTCACTGGACCTTATGATCACTCAGCTGCACAGCTGATGCCTGCTGGACTGTTCCTTTACACGGTACCTTGTCCTGTTTATCTGTTTAGCCTCAGCCCAAACTTTCATCGCCATTACCAGTTGTTGTCTTAGCTCTCTCTAATAACACCTGTGATTGCTTTATGCCGCTGTCCCATGTCAATATGCCTTGCCTATTGCTGTTCCAGTTACTTATTATTATACCATTTCACTGTAGAACCCCAAGTCCCTCTCAAACTGCCTCAAATAGCTCCTTTGTTCCACCCCCCATACACGCCAAGACCGGCTCAATCGGTGCCTCCAGTGATGCTATCTCTTTCATTGTTACCCAACGATTAGGTTTACCTCCACTGTACTCATATCCTTCCATATCCTTGTCTGTACATAATGCCCTGAATCTATTCTACAACGCCCGGAAATCTGCCCCCTTTATTCTATGTACCCAACGCACTAGAAGACCAGTTCTTAAAGCCTTTAGCCGTATCCTTATTCTAGTCCTCCTCTGTTCCTCT